TAGGATTGGTAGAATAAGTATATTGATTATTAGCTGATTGATCTGTTGCGTCATCTTGTATGAATTTCCGGTGTGTCCCGCGGATAAGGAACTGTGGGATGTATGAGACTTGATTGCTACTTGACTATTGTACGATAGAGACCCACTCATAATACGTGCCGTAGCTAATAGAAGAATATTCTACTATGAATAGATATACCGTGATATTCAGATACACCACTCCCCCCACCAAGCACGAGTGAAAGCCCGGGCTACCGCGGCGTTTTCAAACAACCATTTGCTCTCAACCCCATAAAGGGGGTGAGCAAAGGCCATCCGGAAATCACAAAAGACGCCCAATCATGTCTGGCAGCGAATGTATTGCATAGCATCTCTCTCTTCCTCCCTCTGCGCTTATGTGGGTTGAGATACCCACCGAAGATACCGGGAAAGAGCGATGAGACAGAGAGGTGTAACATAATAAGAGCCTATCAAGAGTATTGAGTTCATACTTCCAAGAGCTGGTTTCTGATAAGAGGGACTGTACAAAAATATGTTTCGAGGCCCCCGGGGGGGGAGTGTTCGCTCGTGGGTACCGTCATGATTAGATTTAGACGAAAGGGTGGTATCGAAAGCACTCATGCCCCTAATTCATAGGGTAGGGAATATTTTCATCCACAGCATAACCTTGTGGGGTAGACGTGTCCTTGTTCTGAACCTCGGAGTTGTGGCATAGTCATAATGTATCACTCGTTTTCTTGAAGCTCGCAATCTTTTTTTTTTGTTTCATTCATTAATTGAAAGGTAAGAAAGAGATATATATCTAATGAGTATATAATTATAACCTGCGTATGCAGTGTGCTTTTGTAGTCTTCTGATTGGTTTATTGAGAGATGTTTTTGTTTCACTTGAAATATGTTGTGTTGGATATTAACATAGGGTATTGTGCTGAGTGGTGTTAGAGTGTTAATAGGGTTGCTACTGGTTCTGGGAATTGATAGTGGTTCGATTTTAGCGGTTTGGTAGCTGTTAAAGGGATATACCTGTAGTTTTAACTGGAGAAATTGTCTGACTTATCCGTTGATATATGGGGATAATATATCAGAGAAGTCACATATTGACCAGATCAGATCTAGATATAGTGATGGACTTTGCCTGCCAGGAGGGGTCGAGGGCCGTGCAGCGGCCTGACTGACAGGCAAACAGACAAATAAGCCGCAAAGCGGCTTGCCTGTATATTAGACTGATTGATATACATATAGTACCGGCCGAAGGCCGGAAACTACTTGTACATATGTATATTTGGATTGGCTATGGGAGTAGTTTTCGAAATTTCTAATGCGTATCACAGTAGGAATAACTTCGTGTAAAAGCGGGGAATGAGGGCCACCTACGAAGGGAATTTAAGATGGAAAAAAGAGATACGTTGGCCACGTGATAATGACAGATAAGGAATGCATTTGTAGGAGTAGGGTAGTTGGCTATGTTTTTATGCATATTTTCGATCATGTGGAGTTATAGAAAGGTATTATGGGATGGTAGAGCAACGACGTGACTTTTGGTTGTGGTACTGAGGGGTAGGGAGTACTTACTCGTCGTGTTGCGTTGACTGTGATCCAAATTTCTCAGGTCTCGGGTAAGTAAGAAGATATCAAAGCCTGAGCGTCGTATCGGACCCTTCGTCAATTCGAGTCAGATCCCGAGGCCGTCGCCATTCTCATTAACTCAAGGTCGGAGGTCCTAATTTTGGTCGCTATCGGAATATCCGGGGCCTGTTCAAGGTGGGGTGGTATCTAATCCACGTGAAAGCGGCATCGGAGAGCGGACCGAACAGCTTTATTCTTTTAAAGGTACACATAATCACAACCTCAGAGTTGAACTTCTCAGGTCTCCGGATTAAGTCGAGCGCATCACCGCCAGCAATGATCAGCCAGACGGTTAAGTCAATGAAAAGTACTGAATTTACGTCTACCAATGAGCCAAAACTAGTTAGTTATCGTTTCAAACAATTAGTAGCTTTGAAATACTGTGGCTGGTATTCGTTATGGGGGTAGTCGTGGTCATAGGATATCACTCGTTCCCAAATGTCATTAGCTTCTGTATTCCGATATGGCATCAATCCTTTTGGATAACATCCCCCCATACATATAGACTATGCTAGAGTCACGACAGCACGATATCCCAAATCAAGCAACAGCTTTCTGTTTTTCTTTAGCCGAGAGTGCCTGATAGCGTGTGCTTTTTGTTCCTGGTGTATTTTTGTATGGGCGTGTGGATCACGTTGGACGCGTACATATATCGAAAAATATGTCCAAGATTTCTAGAATGAATTATAATCGAATACAAGACACTTTGGATATCGCTTATTCGCAGGAAAATCTTTTTGCGAGTCAACAAACTAGCCAGTTTCCACATATTCACTCACAAGGTATCACTCGTCATCCAAATCGCGCGGTATCACTCACCTAAGGTTTCTTGAGAGGCATTTTTGTCCTTTGGTGGGCCGCACGTTCTGACTCTAAATCAGGCTAACTTGTCTGGCTAGTGTAGAATCCAAAATACAGTTCATACATACACTGCGTGAGTAATAATGATCAGAAAAGAGGAGAGAAGAGAACTAGGGTACGGGTGGGGGATGCTGAAAGATGCAGGGAACGAGGAATAGAATAAGAAGAAGGGCTTTGTGGGCGTTATTTTCCTATGTCAGAAATATGTGAGAGGAGGCGGAGGAGAAGGGGCAGTTCAGGGGTATTGCCATAACTGTAAAGTTGCATGCAATTAATGAATTAAACAAAAAAAAAAAAATAATGATCAGAAGCGCCTTCCGCTGCATTGTACTGCTCAATATATATTTTCGGAGGTCAGTTTGTTCTATGGAAGATATCTTGGACAAATATAATATTTGGAATAGGTTTTTCAACCAATTTCCATTCTGTCAAGTCGTGATTATGATTGTTCATGGCCGGTGGTCGTGATTGGCACGAGACCTGGGGGTAGAGGGACAAGTCCCGACGCTTTTTATATTTTCTTTCTCGCCGATATATGATCCCTACCCTTATAAAAGAAGAAAGTGGGAAAGACTTGGTTTTGATTTTCATTAATTCCATTGTAATGAGTGAATAGCTTTCCTAGATCTAAAAGTCCCATGGCGAACAATTTCGAGACTTTGAAGGGACTAGGCCATTGCAACTGTCTCAAGATTTAAACTTCAGAAAATACAAGATAAAACTGTACGAGACTTCCCTGAGTCTCGTCTCGTATTTGTAGATCTTTGGGCACACTACATGTATCAATAGTAAAGTGAATTTTTCATGCTCGCCGGGCGTTCCGCTGCGTGCAGCCGTATCTATGTATACATGTACAAGTAGTTTCCGGCCTTCGGCCGGTACTATATATATATCAATCAGTCCAATATACAGGCAAGCCGCTTTGCAGCTTATTTGTCTATTTGCCTGCCAGGAGGGGTCGAGGGCCGCGCTGTGGCCTGAGAGCCCCGACTGACAGGCAAAGTCCATCACTATATCTGATCTGGTCAATATGTGACTTTTCTGATATATTATTCCTATATATCAACGGATAAGTTAGATAATTTCTCTAGTTAAAACTACAGGTATATCCCTTTAGCAGCCACCAAGCTGCTAAAATCGAACTACTAACCGATTCCCAGAACCAGGAGAAACCTTATTAACACTCTGACAACACTCAGCACAATACCCTATGTTAATATCCAACACAACATGTTTCAAGTGAAACAAAAACAGCTCTCAATGAACCAATCAGAAGACTATAAAAGCACATTGCATATGCAGGTTATAATTATATACTTATTAGATGTACCGCTAAATCTCGAGTTATTCGGGGGGTTGCCAAGGCAAAAAGCTGAGGATCTTCACCTTTAGAGGCAGAGATCTTTAATAAAACAGCCCTCTTCTGCAGGATCTAAACTAAATGTAGTATAGCAGCTGAGCTTGGCAACCCACCGAATTACTCGAGATTTAGCGGTATTTAGAGACCAATTTTCTTCAGCGTTTATTTTTTTTCAAGCAGGGGGTACTGCAGCGGGGTCCGCTTCTAGTGATGTTGGTCGTCAGCCCCCGCGTCGGTATAAGTGTGCTCTGTGTCCAGGGCGCATGCGCATCACAAGGCTCGTGATCTGGTTGGTTGATGCAGGGACCCTTATTCAAATGCGTAAGCAAGTTGAGCCTCCCGGCGCCTCGCCAGGTGAGACAGCGCTAACAGCTAGTGTCTTACAAAATACATGCTCACGTCCATGTAACATAGGGTTCTGCCTGACGTACGGCTATGCGTAATTTCTAGCGTCTCGAGGTTAACTTAGACGAGAATGGTATATAATTTCATCGTATTTAATCCTGTGATAGGAGGAGGACGAATCCTCATGGCGATAAATTGATGGACTTTGCCGCTCGATGAGCGTTCCGTCGCATATACTAGTAAAAAGGGAATCGATCTGTGAAGATTCAATATCTATTGTGATATCTTGGTGGTAATATCAAGGCTATCGGGTGTCTCGTGCGTGCTAGGTGGTTCGCGTGAACGCGCCTCCAGCTTTACCAGTGACTGATTGTATTTTGACTCTTCTCATGCGATACGATTAGTTTCTCACCCCAGTACCTGGGTGGCATAGAAAATGTAAAGTTATCATAGCAATGGGTATATCTTTGGCGGTCTGGGAGTAATTATCTACCGTATAAGCAGAGTAATCCGGCTTCGTACTTTCAATATCTATTCTTGACCTACAGTTGGTAATTAACCAATCAATGCGAGCCTGAAAAGGCCGGGGCTAGGCTTATCACCTTCGTCCATTTCTCAGGTGATTAGCTTAGAGGCTTAAAATCAAGGGGAAAGGCCCAAGGACGGTAATCAGCGGTACAACGTAGAGTGCCATGTTGTAGACAGGGTTAATCTCATAATTTTGGTAAAGATCTATGGGACTAAGGCATGGATGCCGTTTCTTTCTCTTTATTCTGAGTTCAAGAATGTTAGTCATTCTGGGCTGTGCCCTAGGTGGTAGTGTGAGGAGATCTTTGGATACGCAGGACAGAGGAATAAGGCTGTAAGTAAACTCTAATTTGATCATTTGGGCGTACGATAGTAGGCATTAGTAGTAGAATGGCACTACCGAAAGATGTTCGAAACAATGCAATTGACGTTGTGCGCTTCTCACATTGCCTGCGGACACCGTACTGCGCACTTTGAAATGAGTGATTGAGCGGGAGCGCGGGCAGGCGCTGAGAGAGATAATAGTAGATATACCAATCTTGCGGAATATACACAAGTGGTTGTCGATAACCTGGATCCTCGCCCCTGCTAGAGTTAGAACCGGTTTTGACATGAAGCTAATGCTCGAGTTAACTGCTGACCTTTGGGACTCAACTGCCTTCCATGGGGGGCGCAAAAACGTGTTATCTAGACACGACGTACGCTTCTCATCCTCGTCCTATGTACCCATAGTAGATAGTGAGCGGTCTTGTTCAGTCATTTTGCTCCGTTTTTCTTGGGTTCTGGCCCGGGCGAACGCTCCACTTTCTCGGGGATATATCATGGAATATCACTCGTTCGGCCACTGAATTACTCCTAGAATTATGCGTATTCATCCACTGATCGATCCTGAGAAGTTTTGTTCATGAACGTTGCCTGTTGTGTCGGGAAGGTGTGATTCCTATATATACATTAAATAATGAAGTCGGGTATATGCTATTAAAGGTATGGGTGCATGTACATACATGCGTAGACTCGCTGTACACACCCACTACTCTCTGCATCAACGCCCGTCGAATCCACAGCATTATACCAACAGTGGGTTAGAACATGGAAAGGAGATCGGGGAAACCGCATTGTAGTGTCCAATGTACGTTGCCTGCATGCCATTGAACTAGCGGCTCATAAATCTACATGTAGCCCCAACACAGGAAACCTCAGGGGGCGTTCTTTCTGCGGCTCACCCGGCTCATCACGTACATATCCCTATCGGTTGGATCTATTACCATGTATTATATCTTTGTTTTATCCAGAGACTGTCTATTCATGCATTTTTAACGCACCAGCGATCGTTGATGAGTGATGTTTGGACAGCCGAACTTAATGGCCCTTGATATGTCCGGAGTAGACTATAATAGTAGAAGGAACAGGGTTGATTCTCTGTTATAAATTATAAACCGGGAAGTCGTGCGCCGGATACCCGCGTTTCTGTAGGGGTCGGAGACAGTGGTATCATATCACCCTAATCTCATCTATGTAGTAAATACTAAAGAAAGTGCAGAGCTAAACCTACTTTGATTTGGAGGGTCCTGGTGTATGCCTGGATCTTTGGACCACAGCCGTGTTGCAGCCATTCGGCCAGATGCTTAATTCACCCCCAGACTTTATTTTTTGGCGAGTACACGCACCAAGACACATCATTCTTCCTTAATAAAGAAGGAAGCCCGCCGGGTCGCTCCTGTGCTCTGTCTATGCGGCACTATCTTGGAATGGATGGTTGTCTCAACCAGCCACCTAAATAACTGCGCACAAAAGGCAATGTTTACAAAGGGATAAGATACACCATTGAATGGATTTGAGAAGGATATCCACATTTGCCTGGAAGGAATCCATGTGTCAGTTATTCCTTTAGAACTATCGCCAGTAATAAACGTTGAAGACTCTATTTGTGGCGACCAGGACGCACTGCGATCTTAAGGTGTCAGTCAGTGCTGAGAATTTTGTTTATGACAGACTCCTCAAATACACCTGTTTCTAGCTGCGCATTACCTCTATGAGCCCCCAAGCGTCGGAGATATCATTTTATTAGGGTATCGCGATGGTAAACCGGTTTTCAGTCTTAGGATTCAACTACGAAAACATACTTCGAAGTGGTCGACCACACGAAGGTAACTCTATATCGATAGGGAGGGACCGAAGGACAACCTTCCGTATAAATAAGATTCCAGTTACTGTCTCGAAAGCAAACTTACTATCCATTCTCGGCTCGCTATTCTCTCAAACATCCTTCCACGGACAACCTGAGGTTTCCCCCCAGGTGTTGGAGTGTTCACTTGCTCCTTCACCTATGGATAGCAAAAGATACCAGATTGCAACGGTGACTTTTGAGTCTATCCCTACCCAGCTTCAATCATGTTGCGGCAATGAGAAGTGGGTATCTTTCACAGCCAATATCGATTCTACGGCAACGAAGTTAATTTTTGACTCCCACTTTATTGGGTTGACCCCGCTTCAGGATAGCAATGGTGATTATCAAGTTGAGTAATACACCCCGTCCGATATTGATTTATATCCGAAGACTCAATTAACCGTTTTACTGCTGTGATTGTTAGTCTTTTTTTCGTGACTGGCCTTGCCGGCCACGCATTCGGATCGTGGAAGGCGAGGGGAGAACACACAATGTGGGTGAGGGACTTTCTTGTTAAAGACCTTGAATACCAGCATCGTGGCAAGGTACGCGTTCTCACATACGGATATGATGCAAAGCTACTTGCGTCGAGCTCAACTGCAGGCATTGGAGAATTTGCATGTAGTCTGCTGGACGCGGTGGGAAATGCTAGAAGATATCCTGAAGTATTTGGACTCCGGAGCCGTACCTGAAGGGATTACGCTCACCTCTTTTACTAGGAACAACAACGGCCAATTATATTTGTAGCTCATAGTCTGGGGGGACTTGTAGTAAAAAAGGTAAATAGATGTACGTGTGGTTATTTATGGCCTCGCTGATTGGGGAAGGAAAGGCTCTATTACAGGCAGCAACAGGTACAGAGAGAGACAGTGATATATCTCGCTCGGTGCATGCTTGTTTCTTTCTTGGGGTACCACACAGAGGCATGAATAATGAACAACTAAAGTATATGGTGAAGGGGCAGCCTAACGAGGCCCTTGTATCAGATCTTGGCATCGGTTCACAGTTTCTTAAAAGCCTCGAGAAGTCATTCAACGATACGTTTACTCTGGAGTGCCTACGCATTTTTTCGATATATGAAACTAGATTATCTGCGACGGTTCTGGTATGACAGTTCTGACGCCATCATTTTGACCTATCGCTAACTTGAATAAAGCGGGGCTCGTGCGGCATATGGGAGAGGACAGGACCAATGGTGGAGATGGTCACCAAAGAGTCTGCACTAGACTGGCTAGTGGAAGACAGAAGACACATTCGGATACCAAGAAACGTAGATCACTCGACACTTGCGAAGTTCACAAGTAGCGCCGATCATGATTATGAAATCCTCCGCTGTCATATCTTGGAATGCGTTGAAGAGGCTCCAGTGAAAATCTCAAAAAGGCATACGAAAGTTAATGGTATTTTGTCCATTTTTATTACGATGTCATACCAGCTGACCCTTTGGTGCTAGAATGTCATCTCGCCGAACTCTCAAACACCTACGCCTCGGGTGTTAGTTGGAATATTCTTAGAATTGCGAGTATTATTTGTCTCAGGTTGGTTGTTGACTCCCTCGGGGGCGGTCAATGTGATATCTCAAAATTTCGGAAAGAAATTAATCGAGGTGTACCGATCCATTGCCTACCGAGCGTGGAGCTCACCCAAAAGCGCAACAAAACCATGGGAAGTGAATGTTCGATGTACAGAAAAGTCGATGCTCAGCTTTCTCCTCACCTGGGAATAACACAAGTTAATTCTCAGGGTGTGGGGAGGTGGCCTCAAAGGCTCGGCAGAGTCGTATCGCTCTTTCGCCGATCTCCCAGGTTTTCATTCAATGTGAAGACCAAACTACTTAGCATTGTTCTACAACCGAAGAGAACATCACTAGACAACTCCAGGTCTTCTGTACAACGATATATTCGATGCTGTAGTGTAGGAAAGAACGAAAGACTCACTAGCACTAAAATCAGAGCCTTACATAAGAGCGATCGTATGGGATGGCCTAAAGGTAGATGGCAGATGAGTTTAACATGAATAGAGCGGTGGTGCAAACGTATTGGAATCGAAACCAATCGCTTGCATTCATTCCTGCGGCCACTCGGCTTGCTTGTCCCAGAATATGTAGTTTCTATGGTTCTCATTATCATAGCTTCGGTGGTCCGACCCTGGAGGTGGACTGTTGCTGGCTCGCTGGGAAGGGGAGGTTTCAAGCCTGATCACAAATCACCGACAGTCCTTGGAGTGCAACCTTTGGAAAGGAGACAAAATTGTTTGCAGAGTCGTTCTATGAATGGCCAAATGTGTTGCGTTTTTTAGCCAACTTCGTAACGGTGTAGAGTTGTGGAAGAGAATGCGATAAACCTAAATAGAATCGTGGCAGCTAGAATAACGCTGAATTGAAAACAAGTGATTTAGAATCAGCCCTATCTACAGTTCTATTCTAGATCCCTTAATACAGGCACGGAGGACCTGGCCAAAGAAATGAGGGATTCACGGGCTCCAGCTGTGGTTCTGCCTCCTACCTATCGACCCCGAAGATGGCTTAGGGAACAATCCCTAATCTAGTGGCTTTTATCATTGCGATTGCTGGGCGAAAGCTCCAGATATCTAACAGTTATCCAATTGGAGGGATTTTAGTCCTCTCAGATAAAGATTTTCGACACTCGAGAACCAAGGTACCCAGAAATTGCATTTCTGCAAGCATGAATCAATCAACCTGTGCATGTTCTTTTAATATGTACCACCATGGAAAGGGCCTGGTAAATGCTCGATAGGATCACGCATAACAGGAATTCAGGCCTGGGACTTACTCGGGGTGGTGCTCCGGTGTAGAGTCATCCGGAGAGATCAGTACTTAATTATAGGGAAATCCTTGAATGTGAAAATATTTGTTAGCAATATCCTGGAAATAAAAAGGGGGTTCAGGTCCGGCTAGTATTTCCAACGGTTCTTCGGTTGGCTAGCTGAAACCGGTTTTCTAAAACAGTTTATGAAAACACTTCAGTTCAGTACTGTCGTCTTCTTCCTATTTGGTTCGGCTCATCTTCTGCCGTAGGCAAAACCGGTGTTGTGTGCGGTTGGAACTCCTTATAAGAACACTCTACTAGGAGAAATTCTAACCCAGAGCACCTTTGGTGCTGGTAAACTAATGCCAGGACCTCAGGACGATTCTGCAGTATAAACCGGTTCTTATTCGGCCGGTTCACTTGTAGGCCTTTTTATGCAGTTCAGTTTGTTTCAGTTCAATTTTACTGACAATAGGAACCGGTTGAAACCGTGGGAAATGTTTCTATCGCAAATGTCAGAACACTCCGGCGGTGCCCAGATAAAGAAGTATTATTAATCTTCCAGAATATGGCCGTGTTGTACGTCGAACGCCCATGGCGATAAAGACGAGCGGGTCTGTTCAATTTCTAACTGGCTGTTCCGGTCTCTCTGGTCGCAGTGCTAGAGCACATAAAAATTTTGTGCTTCCTTTAATCGTTGAATGTATTGAACATAGTTAGTTGTTAGTATGTTAGAGTTCTCCTACCTTCTTATTACCATCGCCTTGCCCCGCGGAGGAGTGAGGTATATACCGGGATAGGGTAGGAATTTACAGATTGTCGTTTTATGTAGACTGACCTACTTTCTCATCTTACGCGTGTATACAGTATTTCAGAGCGCTATCGTGTCGTCTTGCTTACGCAGCACTCCCGATTCTACAACTAATTGGGACCCTTACGGAGTGCCCCGAGAGGAGGCCTGTTACATGACTGCATTTCGTTCTTTTTTTTACCGTTATCTGATAGTCGCTTCTGCGAACTTGTATACCTTGCTCCGATCCGATATGGCCTACCTGCTTACAGTGCCGGTATATGACATACCTGCCTACAATACTGGCGTTGCTCACCTGCGTACCGTAAAGGAACTGCCTACTTGCCTATAAGTTGTAGTACGAATGATCCTTACCCGCCTACAACATTTACACATTGCTTCCTGATTTATCGGAATAACTCATGGAATCGAGGGTCTTGCGCTGCCTATTGTTTGGAGGTGCAGACAGGAGGACTAGGGGAGGATAGGCTCAGACTGGTGAACACGATCGATGATAAGGACAGGTCATACTTTCCAGGGTTGTCAACGACCTCTGTTTCCCTTCCCTTCTCAATCAAACACGAAAGATCGATAAAACGATCATCGTTTTTAACAACAACCCTGGCAGGCAAGGGAAGGTAGATAATTTCTACGCCTTCCCATATCGATCCCCGATTAAAGTAATAATAGACATGCCGGCACGCACCCAGAATTTCCGTGAGCTATGTCGTCCGCCTATGACCTCCGGCCGTGCGGCGGGCATCCTTATAAATCCAATTCTGTGATGAGTTGGCAACGACTATTGGTATGTGATGGTCCGGATAGAATGAGTTGGCGCGCTCCCTTTAATTGAGTTATGATCAAGATGTGATTAGTACATTCCTTGGTTGGTTTACCTCCTTGTGGCAGTGCCGTATCTGAGCACTCCATTATCGCAGGTTACAAGGGATTTACTACATCGCCCACCGCCCACCGTAACCCCCGCGCGGGGATAAGGATCGGTAGAGCTTGCTTTACCCCTTCTTAACGGAAGTGTCTTGTTTTTTGGTCCGGGTAGGGTAGGTGGTGCGCTTCCTTCAATCGAGACATGGTCAAGATGAGTTAGTAGGTTAGTTTTCATCTCCTCCAGGCGGCCGGTATCTGGTTATAATAAATTGTCGTGCTTCCTTTAATCGAGACAAAGTCAAGATGCGATTAGTACCTTCGTTAGTCCTCCTCCTCCGCGCCCCATGACAACATGCGTATCCGCCCTTTCCACCTGCTACCCTTCAATAACCTGCCTGACGGCAGTAGAACAGGTGCTCACGATTATCCCTTGAGCGGGCGTGTGTGTTTTTGTTTTTGATATTTATGCACTCTGGACAACCGCGCCCGTTGGTCCTACAGTCGAATGCACTGGGAGCTGTTAGTAGTACTCCTCAATCAATCAAAAAAGATCCAGCAAAAACACTGAGCTCGCCTTCCTGTCCCTACCCCCAAAACAGCAAGTGGTGGAAAAGAGAAGAAAAAACAGATTTCCAAGCTGGCGTGAGGAGGCAGATGTCAAGGCGGGGCTATAGGTGTGGGTATTATGTTTTGTTATTTATGCATCCGCACCACCGCCCACTGGATACTGCAGTTGACTGGGCCAACTGTCTATTACTATGGCGTCTCGGGGGTAGGGGTTATTCTAGAATATACCTACCTCACCTCCGACCCCTCCTAGAATGAGAAAAAAAAAGAAAGAAATAAAAAAATATTGTCTTTCCGAACAGGTGGCGGGCCGCGGATGGGAGTCTTTTATTTTGGTATTTATGCACCCGGACCACGTCGGCTAGTCCATTGCACTGAGAAATGTTAGTATACCGTCAGAATCGATAAAATACTATTCAAGAAGCAATACTTGCACTATCTACAACTCTCCCCCAAAGTTAAAAGAAAAAGAAAGGAGGAAGGAACAGAACCTCAGACAAGCCTGGAAAGGGAAGGCCGAGGGGTGGGGCCGAGGGTGTAGGCATTTGGTTTGTTTGTGGTATTTATGTACCTCCGGGCAACCCGCCTTTTGGCTGTAGTCGATTACACTGACTGGGAGGTGTTAGTATAACGAGTCAATCAATTAAGGGGGAGGAGACTTTCTGGAAGACACTTACATTACGTTTCCTGTTTGTTCCCAAAGTAACAAAGGAAAAGAAGATAAAAGAAAGAGGAAAGACAAAAGAAAAGAGAAGCACTAGAGGTCTGAAAAACGGACATCTCGGGGCGGGGCCGCGGGTGTGGGTGTTTTGTTTGCGGTGTTTATGCACCCCCGAAACCCCGCCAATTGGCTGCTGCAGCAGATTGACCTGAGGAGTGCTGGTATAACGTGTCAATCAATGAAGGGGGGTAGAAATTGTTCTGGAGTACACTTACGTTTGCCACACCTTCCTCCTCGCACGGGGAAAGAAGAAAAAAACAAAAGAAAGAAAGAGAAAGTTCCTAGACACCCCTAAAAAGGCAAAACTCAAGACAAAAACACGAGTGCAAGAGTTTTGTTTTGGACTTGATATTTATGCACCCTGGCCACCGCCCCCGTCGGCTACAGTCCACTGCGGGACTAGGGGGCGTCAGTATAAGATCTCCATGCTATATATCCATCATGCAAGAAGGAGAAAACAATTGTTCTAGAATAGACTTACTTGCATTGACTACACCTTTGTCCTCCCGAATCTAAGAAAAGAAAAAAGGTATTTAATCTCCGAACAGCCAGCGAGGAGCGGGCGCGGGTGCGGGTTTCTTTCATTGTAGTTTTTATACGCCCGGGACCCGAAAAAACAAAAAAGAAAGGAGAAAGTTCCTAGACACCCTAACCCAAAATGAGAGCAAAAGAACTCAATTGACAAAAAACCACGAGCTGGTCAATATGTCCTCCTATTCTCTTATTCGTAGCACTTTGTCTTGAGCATATTTTTTATGCCCCACCCTGGCCAACACCCGCCCGCACAACAGTTCGAGTCTACAGATCCACTTCTGCGCGGGACAGGGGGCGTCAAGAGAATAAAAGATACTCCCTACTCGACGATAACAATAGTGATATCCATCTTGCAAGAAGGAGAAAACAATTGTTTCTAACCTAGAAATAGACAGCTTACGTTAGCGAGTATAACTAGGCACCTTGTACCATCCCACACGAAATCTAAGAATTAGAGCACAGAAGAAAAAGAGATTAGTATAATACTCCTGAACAGGCGCCAGCGAGAGAAGTGCGAGTTACGCGGGGTGACGTTTCTTTCATTGTAGTGTTTTTTAATACGCACCGGTGACTCCGCCCTAGTCTGGATGTTCCAAAGTATCGGGTCTATTCACCTGATTCTGTGAGAGCTGTACCACGCCTACCGTGTTCGATGAATATCAAATCATTAGCACGGGGCTGAAAATATTCCTAGGGAATATTTACCAACCCCCCTACCACAATTAAAAAACAAAGCGCAAATCCAAAAACAAAGCCTTAATTAATTTCCAATAAGGTGTTTTTGACATCCTACCCCATCCGCGCGGTGTTTTAAGTAGTGGTTGCTTTATCAATAATATGTGGGTTGCGGTGAGGACGTGCTGTCTTTATTAAGCCACTCTCTCACTTAGGTCGTTTCAACTTGTTTATGCGGGCACGAACCGATCTCTTGCGCAGGTGTTTGCTGCTATTTATGTGTTGTGCAGTAAGTTGACATTGCTCTGTGTTGGTTATTGTTGTCTTAGGGATGGTTTTTTTCGGGTTGTTATGTCTGTTATAGGTGGGTTGTGCTTGGGCGTTGGCTGGTGGGAATTGTGTGGATATTTGGTGTGGTATTGTTGGGGTGATGGGATGGTTGGGTATTATTTTTGATTTTGTGATGGGATATACTTCTGGTATTTTTGTTGTTAGTGGGGTGGTTATTTTTTATGTGCTATTGTTTGTATGGGGAGTGGTAGGTTGGTGTGTGTCTGTATAGGTAATTGTAGAGGGGAATATTCCACTATATTCTAATATAATGGCCTCGGTTAATATTCGGTGTGTTGACTTTCTACTGCCCTATGGCACAAGTTCATTCATCAATTGCATTCAGTGGCATCGCGCCACGTTGTGTGCGGGAGATCGGAGGAGGCCCGAGAATCGTGCGTGGTATCAGCAGCACCAGAGATGGGACGTGAAACTCCGAAAAAGAACAACTTGCGATTTAAGGCTTAAGCACGGCGCCGCCAACCAAAGAGCATTCATTGCAGGCATTGCGCACTTATCAAATAAAGTGTGCAACCAGATAGAGGTAGCTAAAGAAACCTACCAATCAGAGTTAGAGCTGGACGCAGGATCGATTCCGGGGACCAGCGAGAATTTCGATAATATTGGAGAAGAGAAGAGACTTTGCTGCCAGTGCGCGAATTGGGTGGGGTGCTGAGAGCCTAAATATGAGTGGAGCAGAAGAAGAAACGTCATTTTCGGCTCGCACTACCTATATGCTCCATCGTCATTAAAGCAACGGTCCCCACCGTGTCATTACACTGTATAATGCGGTATCCAGGATCATATCAGCCCGGCAGAACCCATGTACTGACACGCGCGCCGCCCTTCAGATTGAAGGTGCAAGACATGCTTATCTACCCTTAAGGCGACGGTTTGACGAACCCTGATGATTGCGTTCGATCAAGGAAGCACAACTACATGATACAAGGTATCACCACCAATCCGGGCATCATCAACGGCACATAATACTCCCGAGTCGACATCCACCCATCACAACCCATGACCAATCAAACCTACAAATCAGCCACTTATTATCATATCGGATTACCGCGCTATCCCGCCTCTTGCGTGGCCCGGATTATGATCACTAGCCACTAAAACAATTAAGAAAGTAATACCAGCACATAATATCGAGCCACACCCAAGTCCGCCATTTATCCTCCTTAACCCCCCAACCCTCACGGGAGTGGAAATTGTTCCCTCACGATACAAACACGCCTCGACCTTACCCATGTCCTGCGACACACAATAACACAATCAACTCCGCGATACCTCCCCTCTTCGCGCGTCGCGATTGGTATGCGCTAGCTCGTGCAGCATAGTCCGCCTTCACACCAGCGGGAGCCTCCTCAGGAGTGTCCATAAACGACAACCATTTCGGTCACAGCCCTCGAGACTCACGCTTGCAATAAACCTAGGTACGATGCCCAATACAATTCGATGCATCTGGGCTGCATTCCTCCCTCAGCATCTCGGATTCACCTCGAACCGCCATCATAGCCATTTCACCGAGCGCCGACCGTGATGGACCCGCGAACCGAATACGCTTTAAAAACGAGCACCAGCCTGAAAGGATCTCAATGCATCCCGAGTTTCCAAACTCCAGGCTCCGTCCAGCACTCCTGCCAAGTCCGCCGGAAGCGCACTAAACCTCTATCAGTTCCGCATCATCGCCACCTCACTCGTATCACACCTTGGCGTCACGGCAGTCGGAACGCTGGAGCCGGGCAAACGGCAGAACAACAAAGTGATGGGTCAACCCGACCAAGCTTGCGCAATGTGGGACACCACCTCGTCGCCGCGGAGGGCTACACCCAATACGTCGCCCCCGGCACGACGCCCATCGACTGGGCGCGCACCACGGGGAAGGAGCTCTGGTTGGGCTACTTCCACCGCACCCGCGAGCCGAGCACGCACGCCAAGCATGAGATCACCGCCGGGTATTCGATGCTGTTTGACGTGTTTGAGTTCCGCCGCGGCGCGGAGCGACGGTAGCCAAGTTGGTACCATATTTGATCCCGAACGCCGCTGTACTGGACGCTGGAGAAGGTGTAGTTGATGTTCCCAATCGCACAGACACGTAGAATTGAGATATGTCTTAATGTTTCGGGGAGACGTGAAACACTTCGCGCCCCGCGTATTCTGCTCTATTCCCGCGTATCAGCACGTTTGGCAAGTACTGCGCCGGCGTGCTTGCACTGTCGGATCGTGTACAACCTCGCGCCGTCCTGCGCGTGAGAAGATCGACAACACGATGCGAGTGATGGGCACCCGCTGCAAGAAGTACGACGAGTATATGAATCCAGGAACAAGGGAATGTAACGCCGAGGAGAACCTTTAGGTTTGTGATTGGTGAAAAAGCTCCAAACTACCGCACCCTGTGATCCGCAGACCATACGCAAGAAGAACCGTCCCTCTCCATTCGACTAACACGACTCACCGACGGTGGGGTGTTCTAAGGAATAGGATACCCATTTTAGAGGCCCACTCCGTAGACAACTTGCACGTCCGAGACTAAGGTACCAGATTTCACACGACGCTGACACAGATAGAAACAAGACCACCACGAAATACACCGAACTCGCATCCGCCGGAGCTGCCTTCCATCGCGACCGCGCAATCCCTGAGAGACCCTCAGAACACCGAAACGCGACTGAGAGAGAGACGAGACTGGCATGCGAAGTCCCGCAGGAATCCTCCGCTGAGGCGCAACCCAACAAGCGAAGAGTGAATCTCGCGCATACCGTGAAGAGAATACGGAGAGATCATTACTAAGAGCGAGCACTCGTATCAGGTGGAGTATGAATACAGCTATATACTGGCGAGGACCGTTTACGCGAAGACAATCATCGGCAATTGGAACAGGACGCAGCCGCTGGATGGATTTGATCGCGTGTGCTTATTCAAGATAGTCTTAGCCACTGAATGAAGCTGCGATCGTGAGGAGCGACCGAAACAAAACCAAGCACTGCATTGGAAGCAGGTCAGTCTAGACCACAAAAGGACAAGCAAAGCTCCAAAAGCCAGTACGACACCTGGATTCCACCTTACGATCGACGGTTACATGTGCGCCTCAGTAGACTGAAACGCGTCATATGTGGCCGATCCTTCGAGATCAAGGGGCAAGGTCGTTAGGAGAAAGGACCTATAGAGATTTCAATTCCGTGATATGTGATAGAGGCATCTTACCAGGAGTCTCAGTAAAGACGCCCTCTTATTCTCCTAAGGAGCCTCCTATCACCTGGAACTCTATATTCAAATGCTAATGCCCGTGTCCCCCCTGTGTGACAGGTAAGCGGTCTGTAGGACTCTCGATATGATCCGGCGGTTAAAGCCACTTATTTATGTTTCCAAGGCTAGGAAAGAAACTGGATGGCGGCTGTGAATGGATGTCGTTTAGGTGACAAAGAATCCCTCCAGACGCGGTAGCGGATACAATGAATCGATGCATAGATCTTATCCTAAGTATAGGCTTAGGAAAAACTCCACGATACGGCGCTAAAATCGTACCCATTAGCAACGCTCGCAAGAGCAGACTCTCGTGCGTATCTTTCAGATGGCCATCGTAGTCGATGACCTAACCTCATCATAGCTCGTCACCTAGCTCGCAACTCCGAATGTAACGATTATCCCTCACAATGACAGCTAGGAGAGTAGATTAGTCACCCTACCGGCCAACTTTTAAGATGCAGACACACAACGGCTGTGTGCATAAGCCCCTACGACCGGAGACAATCCAAAGAGTACCGTCTGCAAGGTCGAGGCCTTTCCAGTAGTGGTGGATGTATCTTGCAAGGAGAGTAGAGGGTGTAATAGAAACCTGACCTTGCATAGTGGAAACTACAATGGTCAAGCAGCAACCAAAGCGCGATATGTGAATGACAATGGACCTTTCGAGGAATAACTTTTGCAATCAGATATTGGTACTAAACAATCGAACTGGCAACTCACCTGCCAGTGTAATAATATAGTGGTGAGGCGCGGTGTCCCCTTGCGGCTCAAGAACCTCCCTATATCCATAACTCCACCACGGAGAAAGTACTTTGTCTCCACAGACCTCGAAGATGAAGTGCGTGGACACCACAGTTGTGTTATTATCGCGTGCATGGATCATTAAGTTAGGTGAGACGACTCCAACATACAAGTATCGAGTGAGTATGAGTATGACAACATTCTCTAATTGCATATACATCCGTACCCAGACTCCGTCCACTGTCCAAGATAGTTCACGATATGATGATTCATACACATATTGTAACCTGAAGCAACGTAGCACGCGAGTAGTCTTGGGCTCAAAGGAGTTAGCGTCAATTGCCTCACGCCTCCTGCTGCATGGTAGATATGCCTCGAAAACTTCACACTACCAACTTAGCGAACTTTAGCGTGACAATAAATACATCCACTGCTACTGCTAGTTTTGTACTGGTATTACCTCTTTATAAGCACTTTCCTCCTCCGGTACTTTACTCCTCTTTTCAGACCAGTTATCTCTTATCTGATCAATCCAAATCTAAGTGTACATAGTGTTTGGCATATATGTCAAGCATAGTATCACTGGACAAGTAGAACTCACGTCTGGGTCTGAGCGTTATCCAGCCTACGACATTGACATCTGAGTTGTGACTCTCGCTCAGAAAATTCCAATCTGCCGAACCAGGTAAGAAAGTGCAAGTAATTCTCGATGTAAATAACAGAGAGTAACTCGCCTCTAATTAATCGGAGAATTGGCGCATATACTCTGGGGCTATATAATTGCCACTCTTCGTAGGCACTATATGACTGTCACAGCCCTGTTGTATAAGGGACAACTCGATACTAACTGGTACGGCTTGAGACCGCATATCTATCTATACCCCTCTTATAAGGTGAAAGACCTTGTCTAGACTCTGGATAGCTCTTCTGGCTCATAATCTACTGTTTGGCGCTCTTCTGGAATGGTCCTGGCAACAGGCTGTGCAGCCTGGAACGGGGGCGAGAAAGCGAGTTCGAGACGAGCCAAAGAACTTCTAGGCGAAGTAACGCGTACAATACGCGCAGTAGGGGAAGATACCGAGGAGAGAATGGATAGACGGCACTTAGCTGCGAAAGATAGAACACGTAGGAGTAGGGAGTAGGAGTAGGTAGAGAACATCAGGGATAGGTCGAGAGGTTCTCAGACGTAGGGAGTAGTTTACGGCTTACAGGCGTGCAGACTTCAAGAGAGTAGTGAGTAGGTGGAACAGAAAAATCGTTCTCAGGATACGTGTTCAGACTAGGAAAATCAGCCATAGCTGAGAAGCCGGAAGCAGAAATCAGTCGCAGTCTCAACAACAGAAAGCCGAATATATGGCTCTGTCCCTAACAGCTCGACAACTGGTATGGATTCGCAACGCCTTATGCGAACTCCAACAACAATACCAATACAACATCCACGCCGACAACACAGGGTCCATCGAACTCTGTCGGAACCCACGTATCCACGACCGGTCCAAACACATCGACGTTCACTATCACTACACACGTGAACAACTCGAAGCCGAAACCTTCAAACTCCTCTATGTCCCAACCGAAGACAATGTTGCAGACATAATGACCAAAGGACTACCGAAACCAGCTCACCAAAAATTGTCAGAATTGATACGATGTGGCAAGTGAGGGGAAGTGTAGAAAATAGGCATTGCGACATCGGTTATGTATGGAAATTACTCATGTATAAGGGATGACTCATAGAAGGAACAGGGATTCAGACAAGGCTTAGTGTCAGGGATTATGTAATCAGGGGATCACGTTGGTATTAGAATATCTGTATATATAGAGCGCTCAAACACCCACATTATCGCTGGAACTTCAGCGGCGCAATAGTATCTTCTTCGCACTACAAACACATCCTCCCTCAAGGTCACGTGTTCAAACCACATTCAAGTCATTTTCTCCCACATTTCAAACTTCACTCCATACCCATTCCGACCGCATCCCAGCCGTCAACGTTGACAACTGGGACAGTAGATTGACAACTGAGAAAATCCTCAAACTAATTGAGCGAATTTAGATCTAACAAGGACTTAACAGTTTAAAACCACTCTTGATCCAATGAATATTACTCCAACCGTGAAACGATCACTAAGATTATTAGAGCCCACAATCCATCTCCTGCCAACTGTCCAATCGAGTGCGAATAATAAATAAGTGAATAGTATATATAGTATTTTAAAGTCGACCATTCCAGCCTAGCCAGCCTGTTGGCGGGCGGTCGTGGGGAAGAGGTGTTAATGACCAGGTCTAATATGGTCCTACGAGGTCTTGCTTGTTGGCCGGTCAGGCCGGTCAGGTTTGGTCTGGTCGGTTCATAAATTAAGAACGGAACAGAACGAACAAAGAATAATGAAATTGAAATAACAATAGCTTTCGATTCGAAATACAAATTCCCACTACTAACCTGCCAAATTCTCTACTATTACGCCCAAAGCAGTAAAAACGAGAATTGTGCTCGGGCCAGGTTACGCCGTTGAGCAGCTTCCCTTCTGCGCCTTCCCCCGCGGGCCGCTCATGCCCACCCTACTCACCGCCAACCCTAACCCTAACCCACTACCTTTCATCCGATCTATTTCTCCCACACCCCACTCACCCCTTGCATCCCCACCATCCTATACTTTCCGTAAATAGACAAAAAGGAGTTAATGCCCGAAAGGCGAGTCGAACGCCTGATCTTCGCATTACGAGTGCGACGCCTTACCAACTTGGCCATCCGGGCTTGCGGATGACGGGTGCTACCGCTTTGCTTACTTAAACAGAGCGCCGGGTTGTCGAAGGTTGCACGCGAAGTGTGGGGGGTTAAGGACGGACGAGTGAGGGGATATGATGAGTGGGATGATGTGGGGGGTTGCATTTTGAGCTCTGGTGGTGTGGTGGTGTTGTGGAGGGGGTGGGGTCGTGGATGTGGGTTCGAGGATCGTGATGCAAGTTAGTGGTGGTGAACAACCCACTTCAAACTGGCAGGCCGAGGTGAAGGAAGGAACCCAATAAATGACAGAAGCATGAGCAGAAGGATTTGTACTATGGGCATTGACCTGATCTGAGCCTTCTTTTATTGCGTTGGGACGAGTCGAAGCCCCAACCCGAACTGAATCCGCTTACGCACATTCACAAGATTCACTCGCCGCGGTCAAGACGTTAAACCCTCGCCACAACTCAACAAGAGTCAGCGTCTTAATCAGTGAATTAAGGTTCAATCTCAAATAGAAAACAAAGTGCACGACCTCACCAAAACATAGAACCAGATAAAGGAGATCATCGATACCAGAATATTGTCAGAGAGAGACACCGCGAGGTATTGACAGATCTGAGATCCAAACATCGTAGCGACAGCATCCGCCTCGGGTGACTCAATGTGGGGTACGGTTCTCGTTTTAAAGCTACGTACGTGCCTATCGCTTGAGTTACCTATTCAACCGATCCTGTTGAGATCCAATGTCCACACTGTGTAGTGCTCGCCGTGCGAGGAGGAGCCAGAGGATCACCTTCAGGAACCTGAGAGAAATAACTCTTCCATCCACTGGTAAAAGGTTACGATGACATTATAGTGAGATAAAAATTTAGACACACAAAAGCCAATAAATAAAAAAATGCTCCAGTCTTATATCACCGCCCCGGCACAGAAAGCGATATGTCCGAACTGTAGAGACCACCCAGTTCTCAGATCAATAAGCAACCCGCAACCCGCACCAATCACAAACTCACACATCAAAAGCACAGACAGCGCCCAAAAAATGGCGACTAAACACGACCCCGGGGGTAGAACACACTAAAAAAAAAAATGGAACAGCTTAACCAACAACCCAAACAAAACGGGCGTAACGATAATAAATATCCAAAGAAAAAAGGCTGCAACACAAGCCCAAAACCTAGGAATCGCCTAATAACATAGCTACAAACGCACAAAAACTCGCCGAAAGAAATAACCGTCACCAACCGACCACCAACAAACCAGCGGCCGCGCAAATAAAAAAACATTCGTCACACTCGAGAATAAATACACAAAAAAAAACACAACTATACGGGAACTAATTCCTGCAAAAAATGGATGTAGCAAACACCACAAAACAAACACAAGCAACAGCACAAGTCTCTCACATACAAAGGATACACAACCCACACCCCGCAAACACTCACACATCTCTCGACCTATGCAAGCACACAGCACAGAAGCCTGGCCAGTGAGAGACTTAAATAACGCAACACATCGTCGGAAAACACAACTAACAGACACAAAGAACATTCTTAATAAATACTTCCACATCGTTTGTGTTGGATAGAAGAAGAGATTATAGAGATGAAAGACACAAGTGAAACTTTCCCGACTTGACTGTGCGTTACTCTTAGTTCTCCACGGCCTGCTCTTTCGCCGGCCTGCCCGGCCTGCAGCGAAGCGAAATTAGTGAAATGGAAGAGATGTATTCGAAAGCGGAGCCCCAAACCGTACCAACTGTTTATCTTGATAGTTTGAACCGCGGTTTTATGTCTTGGCATTAACAGTCCTAAGAATAAATCTTCATGTTCTCGAGCACAGTGTTCGAGCCTTGGGACTAACCCGTTAAAGCTCAGGAACGGTGTTGGCCGGCTGTTGTTCACTATCTCTTCTTCGTCGACGTTACGAATGCGAGAATAGATGTTTTAGCCTAATGCCAGAAAACATGAATATATTGATGATGATGGGAGACCGAGAGAAGAGCGCGAACAAAAGAGAACTAGCTAGAGGTTGACACCTGGACACAGTGGCGCCAGCGCTTAAGACTACATTTCCTTTCCACGGCGAATATGCAGGCTAACCCGCGCGTATCTGTATGACAAATGCTTTGACGAGAAATCTGCCCAACAACTGGGGTGTTCGAGCTCACGAACATGAGGTGTACAAACCGTTTAAACCGTGGGTATAACTGGTTTTGCAGATTTCTAAACCGTTCAAACTATTTATTGAGGGCGGTAATAACTGCACCAACTGTTAAGTTAAACGGTTCAGTTAAACCGGTTTGAACCATATAACTGGTAAACCACTGGAAACCTTGATTACTCCCGAGAAGAGTATTGTAGGTGGTGGGACACGTTTTTCACAAGTGTAATACTGACAGTGAGGTTGGACTCAAAGCCTGCAGAAACCGTTGATAGACTATACTGCCACTTGCGCCAAGTACACGGAGTTATTATAAGTCTATGCAGATGTAAGAGGAATACAGTGCAAGTGTGCTAATTTGATGCGAAATGTTTACAGAAAATGCTGCTGCTTAAATCATGACAACAAGTCACGCTGTAAATGCGTCCCCTGGCGCTGTAAATAATCACTTGTGTCATTTACAAACGGTGTCCCCGGTAAAATAATCTTAATTCGGGTGATATATTAGTTTATTTATTACATTGCTAGTAGAGTCCGAATCACATATGTGATATTGCCATAACTGTAAAGCTACATGCAATTAATGAACAAAAAAAAGAAGAAAAAAAGAGTCCGAATCTCGAGGTATTCTCGTTCTTCCCTATCCGTCCTGCGCTTCCTCTTTAGAGACCCCCTATCATCGTACTACTTAATACATGCGTTACACTTCCGGGTCGTGAAATACTCCCACTACCATCTCTACACTTCAAGTTACATACTATAGAGTAAGATTCAATGTTGATAATAGAAGAGCTATCTAATTTGCACAACACTGGTTGGTCTGGGGCAGGGTTTCCAACTGTTCACCCGTTCTACCAATCAAACCGATTTAGTAATCCAGTTTAGTTAATATTTTGGTTCAGTTTTTGACTTTGAGCTAATTCAGTTTGAACGGTTCATCACAATCAAAAACCGGTTCAAACCGGTTTACTAAACGGTTCTATCATGCAGGTACCCGTCACATAGAGGTCGTATTTCCTGGCCTTGACCGGTTTTGGGCGGGCTCAATTGCACCTAATAAACCAAGAAACGGACTCTGAAAAAATATCTAGTGTATGAACCTGCAAACCAAACAAAGGAACTGTTGTAGTTTTTAAACCAGTTTAGAGAACCAATATCCAGTTCAGTTCAGTTCAGTTCACTTGGACATGTAATTCGGTTCAGTTCGGTATGGTATGACCTCCGAATATAACCTATTTCAACCGTTGGAATCACTGGTCTTGGGCCTTTGAATTGTCTTTATGGGTTCTGCAAACTGTTTTCCGAATCAGCAACTTTCGAACGACAAGCCTTCCTCAACAGTGGAGCTATATCCTCACCGTTGAGATTGGAGAGAAACACCCCTGCTCTCCGAGGATAATGTACTCCCTTACAACTTGCGGTGTATCGGCCTTGGGCAGACGTCCTAGCCTGCAAGCAATTACTGCGACGACAATGCTTGTGAACACCGAAAGGCCACTGCTGCGATCTCGAATGCAAAAGAGCATTTGTCACTCGCTGCTGGAGCGGGGCCCTGAACATCTTTAAAGGTTGCCCAAACTTTGGTTACCTGTTGGGCGCCTACAAGGATTGTCACCACCGTCAGACCAACACAGTAATAGATGGCACCGTGCACTGTGCTGTTGCTGTGTCTGCTCGTGCCAGGAGCTACCCGGTGGAGCAACATAACCCCTGCTGAGATTCCATAGAGATTGCCCGGGCGTCCTGTGGGGCCAAAGCGGAAACCTCGAGAATAAGTGACCTTTCCTCTTTAGTGGTAAGCTTTACTACTTTGCTCATAGTAAGTAACAAAGATAACCTTGAGATTAGTCAAATGGAACTTACGGATTGTATGCAACTGGCGCTGGTGCCATCCATGAGTTTTCTGCCGAAGGTACTAAAGGTGCAGACCTTAACGCGGAACACCATAACCAGGTCGCCCTTGTATAAATTACATTTGCTAAAGACTTCCAAGATGAGTTACAAAATGTTTCAAAAAAACCAGAAGGGACTGACTCGGGGAAAGTTTAATTGCCTACCATTGCCTTTATAGAGGCATGCTGAGCGAGATACAGCCACCGGAGCCCTCCCGGGAAGCAGAAGAGGTGTCCGCCGTCACTTATATTAGGGTCTCCAGCGAGATTGGGGTGCTTTGGTGTTCCGGCATTCACTTGCCGAGGCGTCAGATATTCTCGGCTTTGTTGGCTTCTCAAACCGTATCCATTAGCTTTTGCTGGTGCTGGACGGAGCGTTAGTACCCATTGGTGAGAGGGTGAACATCTCATGACCTCTATGGGCGACATAACTGTACGGTAACGATCGTCAGGATGGATCATCAATGTTGATACCACACCCAGGGCGCCGACGAATCCCATACCACTAATCTTCGCAAGGTATATCTTCCTGACGCGGTAGTGGGCACGGATCTGCTGGAACTAGCTCGTTGAGGATCCTCATGTCGATCACAGGCTTCCTTTGCCCTTGTGCCTTACTGCGAAGGCCTGCATAGTGTGTGGTAAAGGCCTGCCTATTCTGGCCACGCTTCTTGTAGTGTGTATGTCCAAACTGATGCAAGGTGATGATGATGGATGTTGAAACCCCGTGAGAAGAAAAAAGTGAGGTAAGGTTTGAGGGTTGCCATAGTCCTGGGAGTTCCTCCAGTGATACAGAAACGGCACGGGGCGAGTACGGGGAATTATCAAAGAATAAAGCATGTCGAACGGAAATACCCAAGATAATCTTGAAGGGTGAAGGATTGGCAGAAGGGATGGTCGTGGATGCGACTGCGATGTGGATGATGGATAACGAAGAGGAAGAGGAGGACGAGGAGGGGTTTAAATACCCCGGCTGCTGTAGACACATGGCGTCGATGACTGGTAGTGGAGTATGTTGCAGGTCCGGGCTATTGCCGGGGGTGCCATGAGGTGCAGCGGGGAGAAGCCGCGTGGCTTTTGAATAGACTTGCGGGATGTATGATACCCCTTAGGGCACCGTGTCAATCACAGTAAGCCCTACCGCTTGAGCAATGCACAAAGGTGGGGATAGAGGATATCATCTTTACACGATTCGCCACAGACCTGCCCCTGCTACGTTTCCACGAGCAAGGACAGCGGGCGACAGAAACACTATACATCTCCAACAACGTCGCTCCACCATCCATACAGCCAGATACCCATATCCTCGCACTCTCAATCAACACATCTTGTGTATGTATTCTGTTCCGCTCAAGAGCCCGCCGGATCTATCGTGTCCTGGCTTATAGCTTCAGGGTTAGGGTTTCTTGAAATTAGATAACACCTAAAGTCATACACCTTTATTTATATTATATTTCCTTTACAGTTTCAGAGCTTCCGGGACAGTTTCGGAGAGTAAGATTGGATGGTGTTGGGTACAGTCATACCGGAGAAGGATCCCGGAGGACACATCAACGATACACAAAACTCATACCAAGTAACTCCAAATTGCCCCACCAAGCACCACTCCACGATATACGTACCCACACATTTCAAGTATCTCCCGCACTGTGGTCATAGCTCACCTCTGAGTGATATATAACTACCACATCCCCCACTGGCCCCTCCACACCACCGACCCACAACCAACCCCATCCCCCGCGTCATCCACAAAAATGCATCCCAGCGCCCGCAAGCCCAAAAAAGGCCCCGCTCAGCCAGTACCAGGACCTGAATACCTCCAGCTCCAGCACGAACTCCACCCCCACCCCCACCCCGACCCCCACCTTCACGCCCACTTCCGCCTCCACCCCCCATCTCCATCTCCACCCCCGCCTCTACCTCCACCCCCACCCCGACCCCGACGCCATCCCGCCGCAATTCCCGGCCCCCGCGCCCGCCACTTAAGGCCAACACCTCCGAGTCCCTCCTATCCAGCGACCACGCCACCGACAACACCCCCTCCTCGGACACCACAATCACTGACCTCGGCGACGACTTTGACACTGACTTCGTCCACGTCACCACCGAAGACTACACCGAAGGCCTCAAAGACGAAGATAGCAGCAGAGGCACCTCCACCACTACTTCATCTACAGGGTGCGCCATCACATTCAGCAGCGCCTTCGGAGCCTCTTCCAGCAGCAGCTCAGAGTTCGAGCACATCGAGAGTATCTGGGGGTGGGATGCAACCAGGGGCAGCTGCGCTGCGGGGGCGCCGTCGACACCGCCGAAGGCGAAAGCGGAGAAAATCGACGGGGAAGAAGGGGGGAACGATACGCCGCCCCTCCTCGGTGATGCTCTGGCTCTAGTAGCTGAAGCTGAGGCCAGCGCAGCTGCTGATTTAAATCGGTCTGTTCCCCGCCCGCGTCAAGCGAGAGCTGCCCGTAAGAAGCTACCGACGCTGGATACACCCATCGTCTACCCGCTTGGAGAGATGAAGCATTCGTTCCGGAATGTGTATCGCAAGTTGCGACAGAATGAGCGGAGGATGAAAAAGGTGCAGCGGAAGCTGCATATTGTAAGTTCACCTCTACGGTACATGTTGTGTTGTGTTGGATCTGCTGCTGAGAAACGACTAGTATAAGGCTGAGATAGAATACTTGAAGGGTAAGAGGAGGCGGATTTGGAATATGCTATAATCTGTGAGTTTCGAGGTGGGAACTGTTACATACATATTAGGTTATGCGGCAGATTTTCTCGGGAGGGTATGCGAGTTCTGTATACAAAGACGGACGAGAGAGCGCAAGATAGCTACATACCTAGATCGGGACAGAAGGAGAAGGGCAAATAAATTACCTTCGTCTCAGATCAGTACGCCCTCCACAACCCTGTATCTTACCACTAAGATTATCAAATCGCAACGTAATCAGGCAATAACAAATTCACACCACACCCACTACCACCAATACGTTCATCAGCAGCCCAAGGAGCGCCTGAGTACACTCCCACAGGATCACATACCGTATTCTACTCTCCGCATTACATATACCTTACAGACCTATCAACCAAAGTAATCAAACCCAAAGCCGGGGGTGCATCACAGGCTATCACTCGCCATAATCTTCCTCTATTCCCATGCCTATCCATACTATTACTCTCTACAACATACTCAGTCTGTAGAACTGTGGTGACTCTACCCAAGACCTACCTCTACACTTTGAGAGGCCACTCGTGAGTTGTAACCCCTGTAAGACACAGATTCTAGTTAGGTGTGGCCCCAACATTATCTGTGCGTGTCATAGTAAAGCAAGCATATGCCAAGTATGTCAAGATTAATTGAGATACACGCACTCTGGCCGCCCCCCCCGCCCCCCGGCTTCTTTCCCTGTCTCCAGGCGACACGTCTCAGTAATCCTACATTGCAATGTATATTCTTATTTCAGCGTTGGAAAAACCGTCTGTCATCGGTAGTTCAGAGACCGTATTGCCGGAGCCCGCATCCGCGGTAATGTAGACAACTATATCGAACCACCGGAGCCCACAGCGTGTATCCTGCATGCGTTACAACAACACCTTTCTTCCAGACACCAAGCCAGAGACCAACCAACCCCACCACTCTATCCCACACCCCTCTTCCTCCCACAGTCCGCTCCCAGCTACACCATCACCACCATCATCACCATCACAATGAATACCTGCCCCCACCGCCCCGTCTCCCTCGTCGAGCTGCGCAACCTAACGCCCATCCCCTTCCGCCTCTCCCTCGATGCCACCGTCTCGACCTCGCTATCCTCGTTCGACTACCGGCTCTATCGAAAGTCCCATCTCATCATTTCACCTATCCCTTTTAAACTTTCCTTCCAACAACGGACCGAGGTGAAGCCGCCCTCCTCCGGTGACAGCGAATCGGCATTGCGGAATCAGCCGGGATCCAGAGCAGCAACTCCATCTCGCCTGTCGCTCGGTGGTTCCTTACCCCGGATGGAGATCGGCTCTACAGGTCCTCCACCGAAAGCCCTCACTCAGATAACCATTCCAGAACACCAAAACACCCCCGCCTCCGCTAACCCCAGCACTACCACCCCCGCCATCCGCCACGCCCCACTCTTCCCCAGCGGCAGCCCACTCCGCCGCCCCAAACGCAAAGCCCCCACCCACCCCAGCCATCAACTCACGCACCCCCCTCCACCACCACCCACAAGCGCAAACGCCGCCGCCAGAAACGCCGCCGAGGCGCCAAAGCCCGCTCGCCCGCTCCCAGCGACGACAGCATAGACCGGCAAGTCATGACCGCCGCCACCGCAGAAGAGATGGATGCCGCCGCCGAAATGTGGGTGCAGAAGACGATGCGGAAGCTAGGGTATCCGGAGCTACTGACCTCCGGTGATAGCGGGTAGACGCCCATAGGGTATAATAAGCCGTGGCTCTGGGCGGGGGAATTTACTTTTTTTGTTGTGTTGCTATTTCCTTGTGGGACCTCTCATGCTGTTCTTGCTAGTTATCTTTAGTGCGCTTGGTGCGCGGGTGTTGGTATTCTTAGTGTAATACATGATAGACTTGTGTTAAATACCGATCTGATCCACTGCGCCATGACACTCGGGGTTTCTTGGAATACACCGCCGGTCACCGCCTTCCTACCTCCATTAAAACACTCCCGATCACATTCCAATACCATCAACTACACCCACCCCCCACCCTCCGCACCGCAGCAAGCCACCCAAAGCCACCTTTCCACCCCCCACAAACCAGCGCCCACAGAACAAACCTCCGCCCCTGAACACACACCGTCGCTCGACCTCCGAGTTACAAGACATGATTCCCATCCCAGCCGCGGTTTCGGGGGTGTATGTATGGTGACCGGAATGCGGCGTTTTATGTGCGAGCCATGGAGTTTGGATGTTAGGTCTTGATGCTAGGGGAGTCTGGACGCGATGCCCACCCGGCCCTCCCCACCACCGTTGCCCGCCCGTAACACTTCAACCAACCAACCAACCCATTCACTCCCAGCGCCCCCACGCACACTGCCACGCCACCGCCACGCGACCCCCACACTACACCGCCACGCCTCTAACCAGCTCACCTCATCACTACCAGCCTACGCCGCTAGAACTAACCAGGACCTCAACCTCCCACCCAAAAGGCACACTCCAGAAAATCCGGGGTGGGAACGAACGTGGGCTATGATTTCAGCCTGGTATAAATACGGGTGGATTCTCTTTACTTTACATGGGTTTTACTATTCCCGATACCAGCTCTCTACAAGCAGGCTACTGGAATACCAACGTGCGGCTGTTTCCCGATGGGAATAAACATATATACATTGGACCGTATAAAACCAAGTTTTAAGTAATAGGTTCGGTGAAGATGAATTTTATTCTACTATCCGTAGATGAATGATAAGGATACAACTAGGGCTGTTGATTATATCAACAACGTACAAGAACCTACATACATACTCCTAGAAACTTTCCAAACCAGCCATAAAACACACAAAGCCCAGCCCAAAGCGACCCATAACCCGCCGCTCCAACAACAAAAAAATACATCAACAATCACCGCTCCTCACTCGCCACCTCCACTCTACCCCTATCATCCAAATCCACCCCACTCTCCACCCCGGCCCTAGCCCCTGCCACCGCTCCTGCAACCAACCCGCCACGACCTTCCCCCCTCTCCACCCATCTCGGGCTCCCCTTACCCCTCCCCCTCCTTACTGTCACACCACAGCCCAACCCCGACATGCCCACCAAGCCCATCATCCTTACCGGCGGCACCTTCAACTGCCTCACCCGCTCCCCGACGCGGCACCCCGCACCGCCGATGGTAGCGGACGAATCGGCGGCATTTTCAGCGGCGTGATATGGGGCGTGAATCTGTGCAGTGTAGTGTCTGGGAGGCAGCGTGGGGTCGTGGCTGGGAAGAGGTGGCGGCGCTGGGGTGTGGAGGGTGCTGAGGTGGATGGTGCGGAGGCGTGTTGCTTGTTCATTATTTATTTGTGTCTTAGGTTTCTTTGTGTCTTGTTTGTTTTGCTTCTGAGGTGTTTAGATGGTGATATGAGTTTTGAGATGGTATAGGGACGGGGGTGGAGGTGAAGAAGGGCTCTGTGGTACTTACAGGCGATAGGTTCCCCCCGAGAGGGGGGGGGGGGGTGTTATGTGTCCAGAGTGATCTCGCCATGTCGCCGATTATAAGTGGTCGAAAACCTGAAAGCCAGGTATCAAGAATCGCTCCATAACGGTGATTTCGTCAATGTCGACAGCCAGGATCATTATCATGTACTCTGTTCTTCGATTCCCCCTATCTCATGTCGCGTCTGAAAAGCTTGACAGAGAACCTAAGGAAGACATGATGTGATTTTCGATTAAATTGTTAGCTCACAGGAGAACGATAATTAACCTTCTGGGGAACGTACGCTTAACGAACGGTGTCAACGCTCATCCCCGCTTCGATTCGTGATCGGACACTAGAGAGATGTTGGTGAGTATATCTATCGCGCCGCCAGAACGTTTCTTTTGTGATACAGTACGATGCCAGTCGTGAGCGTCAGGCGCGGCATCGCAACGCCCCCCGAACCATCACGGGTACCAGCATAGCAACCACAATTGATCCTTTGGAGAGCTGAATCTTTGTATAGTTGTTAAATAGTAGATAAATAACAATAATTTGACATTTAATATCTTGTGTACCAACCCGCCGTGAAAAGGTTGTGGAAATCTGGTTGCGCCTGACGCTCACGACTGGCATCGTACTGTACATTTGCGCGTTACCGCTCACCACCGCACTGCCGAACCAGAGACACTCCAGCCATACCATCCCTACCTATTCTCACCCACCCCCCTCCAACACACACCACCGAAGGCTCGGTACTGTCTCCAGTCTTAAAATAGGGCGCTCGGCACATTTCATAGTATTGTAGGATTCTCATTATTTCATTACAGTATTTGTCATCGGCCCATGACTCACTCATCGCTCACTTTCCTATTAGTCATTCTACTACTCATATGTCTATTACTCATTGTATTTCTTTTGTACTACCTCTCTTTAGTATGAATACGGGGCATTCCCCCTTAGCTAGAATAATAACACGATCAATTACTTCACTTGTCCTACATAGTTTCTCTATCCAGTCGTCAGTGATATCCCCGCCGCGCATCCCCCTCACTTCACCAGCAAGGATCTTCCCCCGAATGCCTATACCAACCAACCGCAACCCACCCGCGCCCCCACCATCATGCAAAACAATCTATATACCACCGTTTGCCGGGGCGGCAGACTCAGACCCACCAAGAACTATTCCCGACAATGGGAGCGAAAGATGCAAAGATCCCCGGCTGTTTGGGTTTCCATGATGGTTGGATGGCTCACTATTGGGGTGCGTATCTTAGCGCTTTGGGTTGGTAATGATTGCGAATGTAGCGGGCGGGGATGGGCGTTGACGTTAGCTAGTAGTGGAAGGAGCGAGTTGTGTCTTGCTAAGAAACGGCGGATCTCCTCGGCGCTAAGCGGGTCCTTCCCGGCGCTAAGCGGGTCCTTCCCGGCGCTAAGCGGGTCCTTCCCGGCGCTAAGCGGACGAGAGCCGCAGGCGACCTACAAAGCATCGCAATGAAGTAATTGCGGCCAAACACAATATGTAGCTATAAAAGTGGGTGATATTTATGTGCGAAGCACTAGTTTTAATCGTGAGCAGGGCAAATCAGTACCTTGTTACATAGCACTTAGCCAGTTGTCGGATTCCTACGGACTCGAGGTGTCGTACTAGGGTTTAGGGTGCGAACTGCTACCAAGGGCTCTTACAAGCGGGTGCGGCCACAAACAAACCATCACCGGCACGTACCCACAATCCCTAGCCTATTTTCACTGCCCACCGTTGCCTGTACTGCCCGCCCCTATATAAGGGTCCTATTCTGTATTTAGACTAATCAAACAAGTTTACCAGACGAACACCACAGAGGCCTTTCGCTGCCAACCCATACGGAGCCAACGAGGCTTGGCAGCTTGACCTCAAATTTCATGCAGGATGAGCGTCCTCTAGCGAATCACAATAATAAGCCAAATTACCTAGAATTAATAATGTATAGGAATCATATTTAATAGCGCGATTTAGATCGCCGGAGGGACTACTATAATCCTTTTCACTACTATCCCCTATAGTGCATAATCTTTCGATGTGGATTGATTGGAGTACACGTATGTAGTGAAGGCTGAGCTGACCCCGCACTCTGCTGATCACCAACTCCCGGAAAAAACTCAAACAACTATCTATATCTAAGTGACTCTTCATCAGTCGACGATGGCCCTGCAGAAGCGCCGTGGTTCATTCCTCGATAACACACTTGAAATCAGCAAAAAACAAAAGATCGGGGAAGATAAAGGCAAACAGACAGTCGGAAGGCCTTACGCAACCACATTTCGCATCTCGGATATCGATATCAAATTGTCCAAGGATGATGTGTTGCGGCACGTGAAAGAACGATTTTTGACCGATAATGATGAATCAATTCAAATTAAAGGGTCGTCGCTTGCGCCTTCGCCGGTGGATCAGGATAGATATCAGGTCGCGACTGTAACATTCGACAAGGTGCCATCTGCGCTAGTTGATTGCTTAGGGTCCCAAATACCAAATCCTTTCCAAATACCCCTGGGAAATCATCGATCGACAACATTCATTGAGTCTGCGTTCATTGGGTTGACACCCCTAAATGATAATAGCAACGTGAATTTCGATGTTGAGTAAGTGGTCCCATAAAAACCTAATATATCCTTAACTAAGATATGTGTCAATTTAGCTTAATATTTGTTACGGGGCTGGCGGGCCATGCATTTGGATCATGGAAAGCAACCAATTCTTATATAATGTGGATTAGAGATTTCTTGGAGGGAGACATTGAGCACCGCCAAGCACCTCGAGTTCGCATCCTCACTTATGGATATGATTCCCCACTACTGTGCAACACCTCCACAGCCGGCATCACAGAGTTTGCGCAAGGTCTACTAGAATCTGTGACGAATGCTCGCCGGTTGTCTGATGTATGCTCTAACCTGTGGCGTTTCCCAATGTTATGGAAAGTGAGTCTCTAATAGAACTGGCAACTATAGCAACAGGAACGTCCAATTGTGTTTGTTGCGCATAGCCTTGGAGGTATTGTGGTCAAAAAGGTAATCTCTATTTCATTACACGTTATAAATGCCCGGGTTCGCATACCTATGGCCAATCAAACCCGCCACTTCCAGAACATCCCTCGTCAACACATATGACATTTCTGTGGACCCCTACCATTAGAAAAGCTCCCATTTTATGTTGTCGCCCCGTATGATTATGTCTTAATCTTTGAACATCCTATTTATCGCAAATTGATTATACTTCGACAACTGAGACTCACGCTATTAATCTAGGCTCTGGTTAGGGCGTCAAGGGGTACAGACCATCATAGAAAGGTACTTCGGGCCACATATGCATTGATTTGTCTGGGCGTGCCAAACCGAGGCATGAGGAACGACGAATTAAAAAAAATGGTAAAGGGACAGCCAAACGAGAGGTTGATATCGGACCTGGGAATGAGATCAGAGACTCTACAACAATTGCACGATGCCTTTTCTAGAATATTCTCCGTCACAGACTCCAATGTTATCTCCGTCTACGAGACACAACTATCAAACACTGTTCAGGTAAGGCCTGCCCAGTACTACGTAATTTATATTCCTGACGTTTAGAACTAGATGAATGAATCTGGTCAATGGAACAGGGGCGGCGCACCTAGCTTGATGGTACCAAGAGAATCAGCGACAAGGTCAGCTCATACGGAGGCATCCCGCGATCAGCTGCCGAGGAATGTGGACCATTCTGCTCTGGCAAAGTTCAGCTATAGAGATGAAGATTACCAAAATCTTCGTGGAAGAATATTCGACTGTGTGGATAAATCAGTCAGGACGATCCGAACTCGATTTCTGAGCGACACGCAAGGTAAGAAGCATTTAAATCTGGTACAAGCTATTCGCAACCTTAACTGTTTATTTCGCGCAGAATGCCCCCGCCTCGGTTCCGCATCCACCAAGCTTTATCAACTACCCTTTGAGCTGGTCTTTTCGAGAAATTCGAACTTTACGGGGGGGGAGGATCCGCTAGTCAATATTCATGAAAGAATCATGCACGGAGGATTTAAGGAAGTAATACTCTCTGGCCTCGGGGGCGTTGGTAAAACCAACATTGCGTTGGAATATGCATATAGATACCAGCAATGCTTCACATCTGTTTTCTGGGTAAATGGATCAAGCGAAGAGACAATACTTGATGGTTTCAGAAGCATCGCGGGTCGATTGATAGATCACTATGCACGACATTCGATAGATGCTACACCGAACTATAACCGCATTGCACTGGACCTCAGCCTCAATGGCCTAGTTGATGAGAATGGGCGGCTCTCGCTAGGAAATGAAAGTAAAAATCTTATAATAGCTTCAGTGAAGCAGTGGCTTAGCCAACAGGGCAACCGGGAATGGCTTCTGGTACTCGATAACGTCGATGACCTGGAGAGCTTCAATATAGACTCCTTTATACCAACATGCGACCATGGTGCGGTCATCATCACGACGAGTAGGAGGCGGCCTGAATGGCTGAGTAAGTCGGTTGAACTGACCGAAATGGATTCGGGGGATGCAGTGCATCTACTCCTAAGGATTGCTCGACTCAATGAAAGAGAACCAGAAAATGACGGAAAGTAGTCAATCCCAGTTGGTTTGATATTTCGTTAACGTGGGAGCATATAGAGAGAGAAGCGGCAGCGGAACTTACCAAGAAGCTTGGGAATCTACCGCTTGCGCTCGTACAGGCTGGAGCCTACATCAGCGCTAATCGAATAACCCTTCGTTCCTATATCAATACTTTTGATGCGCATTTCAAATTGGCTTTCAGTGACTTACCACATGGAAGTAGCTATACGCAGCATGACAAAACCGTCTTTACCACATGGCAAACATCCTTCGATGCTATCAAGCGTACATCAAGTGATGCTTCTGATCTTTTGATTGTTTGCTCATTTCTTTCCAATGAGGACATATGGGAGTTTATGCTTCAGCATGGAAAACAGATAGATGGTATACATTAGTCCTTATTCTGTTTTTTCCCTCTAAGAAGACCTCCAATCTTACAAACCTTTAATTGAGAATTATAACAGCTCTGCACGGGTACATTTCCAAGTTCACTGACACGACTGATAGAGATTAAACTAAGAGGATCTCTTCAACTTTTATTCTCGTATTCCTTGGCACAACGCAAAGAAACTAGTGACAGCTTCTACATACATCCACTCGTTCACTTGTGGGGGCATGAGCGCCTGAACACGGAAGAGAAAAAAAAAAACGTGAAAAGAGCTGTGTTGATACTTCGAAATGCTGTTGAACACACGGGCATGGATAGGTATACTCAATGGCATCATCAATATAGAATGATGACGCATTTGGAAGTTGTCAGGGTGCATATGGAGAGATATAGGGTCCTCGAAATGTTAGATCAGAAAGATATCAATTTTCTCACAGATGTAGAGCGGATAAGTGAAATATATCGTAAGAAAGGACATTATGAAAAGGAGGCCAGTATCCTGATGGGGATCTTGCGGGCGTGAAATAGGCTTAGGCCTGTAATGGATATTGATACAGTCGATACGATGGGCCTTTTGGGCGGAGCCTATCGCAGACTTGGTCGGTGGAACGAGGCGGAGGGACTAGAGCTGCAGGTCCTGGAGAGACTACGAGAGCTTCTGGGAGACGCGCATCCAGATACTATCCAGGCAATGGCTAATTTAGCTGTAACCTATTCGAAGCTCGGTCGGTGGAACGAGGCGGAGGGACTAAAGCTGCAGGTCCTGGAGAGACGACGAGAGCTTCTGGGAGACGCGCATCCAGATACCATCCAGGCAATGGCTAATTTAGCTGTGACCTATTCGAATCTCGGTCGGTGGAACGAGGCGGAGGGACTAGAGCTGCAGGTCCTGGAGAGACGACGAGAGCTTCTGGGAGACGCGCATCCAGATACTATCCAGGCAATGGCTAACTTAGCTGCGACTTAACGGGATCTCGGTCGGTGGAACGAGGCGGAGGGACTAGAGCTGGAGGCCCTGGAGAGACTGCGCAAGCTGCTAGGGGAACTCCATCCGGACACTCTTCGTGCAATCTCCAATCTGGGCTCCACCACTCACATTTTAGGTCGGTATACAGATGCGGAGAGCTTGTTCCGTGTTGCCTTCGAAGGGCAGAAAAAGGTGCTCGGTAGTAAACATCCAAATACTGTCAACACAGCTCGGCACCTGTCGGTTACGTACGCGTCACTTGGAAAACATAAGGAAACCGCCGATCTAAAGCGAGAGTACGGGTCCTGGGACAGTGAAGCAGACGAATCCGCGAACGGGACCTCGGAGAGTGAAACAGACGAATCCATGGCCGAGGTAGCGATTGTGGAAAATAGTTACGCCGAGCATTCTCTAACATAATTCCTTGTATGTGTGCTCATCACCCTTCCTAACTCCGCAACTAATGGATTAAGAGTGAGAAACCTTGAGGATATACGGGGTGGTAAAGGAATACTTGAGCGGTATTGATAGTTCCGTGTTGGGTGTTACGGGCGGTTTGATCTTGGATAGTTTCTTTTTATTAGGTTCATGCTACGACTCAGGCGGGCATATTTTTGGTCCGTGGAATTGGGAGCATTTATTACACACGAATAGGATTATGTATTCCCAATACGGGATATTTTACGAGCCCGTTCGTCAGCCGGAACCTGCACAGGTGTTGGTGTAACAGCGCCATGCGGAATTTAGAGTAGATCCTTTCTCTGTCATCTCCATGTGATAACATCGAAAACCCATACTGCTCACTATCCCCTCCGTCATACCCGTCCATTCCCTAGTAGACCCCATTGAAACGAACTAGATGGCACGTGTCTGCAGATTCCTCCCCCCTAGTTCCTTCATTATATGCATCCTTACGGGTGACAAGATTACACCAACGCCCCTCACCCTCCCGTCTACCACCATTACCGCTCACAATGTGCATAATAAACAAAGAGAATCACAAAGCCATAAACCAAATATTGTTTCGCGTTCGTCCTCATGTCCGCGCGCAGTCCATACACCTCTCTACGCCCGCCCCATCCTAATCTCATCTCTCTCTCCTTTCCTCGTATTTGAGATTGATCCGGTGATCTCTTCCGATCTAATATCGAAACACACACCACCGATGTTGAACTGCGCATTGAAAACCAGCGGCATCGTACGCGTGGCCCGAATATGATCTTGTCCAAAAACGGAGACCGGTGATAACCAGGGATGGTTTTCTTCAAAAGACATAATCGTATGCCGCTGATGTGGGGCACTCCCGGTATTACGCGACGTCGAGGCGCATATCATCGCTTCTCCCCCCTGTCGTTAGATTAAGCTTCGCACAAGAGGTGGCAAAGTGCAGACGATAGTCCTGGTGGGGGAACCGCGGGCTTGGCGCCGAGGTCGAGTGATACTTTTTTTTTTTTTTTTTTTTTTTTAAATCATGTAGTTTTAATTGATTCTAGGTACAAAACTCTGCATGCAGTCATAGACTATGGCATAAAAATACCTCTCCCCGACTTTAGAGAACCAAATTTCACAACCCCAGATAAACAAAGGAAAATAATGAAAGGAAACAAAGAACGTTGACATGCTGGCTGGCTGACTGCAAGGAAAAACGACGCTTTGGCGGTCCATATCCGACATAAGAAAGTTTCCTGCTGGTTTCAAATAACCTGTTGCCCCTTAAGGGTCTTTTGTGGGTGCGGGATACCACAATTCTGAGTTGGGTTTCGCGGCGGCTAGCTGGTGGAGGGAGGGGAGCTGAGTGTGCTTGACACCTCAGTTCCGGACAAGAGGGGGGAGATGTGTTCCTTTCTGGGGAAGTTCGTTTTGGTGGTGGTGATGAAGGCTCCTAGAGCTAGTGAGTTGGTGCGGTCGTTCCAGATTTCTTCAAGGGTTTTGATCCCTGGGAGGAGTTGGGTGCGTTGGGTTGCCTTTGCTCGGCAGAAGAGGATGGCGTGTTCCGTGGTTTCAGGGCCTTCGCCGCATCTGTCGCATTTATCGGAGAGGTGGAGGTTGAGCCAGGATTTGTGGCCTCTGAGGTAGCTTTTTTGGGCTCTCATTTGATGGATTCGAGTAGCTGTGAATTTGTGTAGGTCCATGAAGGGTTCAGGGCTTGAGGTAAGGGGGAAAGTGTAGTAGGGGGGTGTTGGAAAGTCGTGTGCCCAATTGTCTAGCATTTGTTACTTTGCTAGTTTTGGGAGGAGCTTGTGGTCTGTTCCTCTTGTGACTGGGTGTTGAAGGAGGGAGCAGAGATGTTCGATGGGGAGGTAGGCCACACCCTTCGTTGCCGTTGAGTTCCACTTTTTGGGTGGGTTGGGGCGGCCACGGAGGAGGCGTGTGTGAGAGGGGACCCTGTCGGGGGTCAGGGTGGGGAAGGAGGGGGGTCGAGTGATACTTTATGTACAGATGTAATAGTATCCTTGGCGCCAAGCCGTTCCGACCGACTAGTATCTCCGTGCGATCTAAGGAGAGCGCACGTTGGATACGTATGATAGAAGAGATAGGCGGTGGGTTTGGTATATGCAGCTTTAAATCATCAACAGCCCTACGCGCTCTCCTCAAGCCCAGGCCCCCTTCCAGCAATCTCCTCTTTTGCCTAGTGGCTTAGCTCTTCCGGTGGTCGACAAATAAGGGGCTATCGGGGGATTTCCTCACCGGCCGCATGCTATCCCGAGCATGGATGGTTGTTCTTTTGTTTTGCCGGAATGTTCACCACCCCTGAGCCGGCTGGGGAATAAGTCTTCATGGCGTTGCTACGATCAGTGGACAATGCTTTCTTTACACCATCATCCCTCCTCCTCTCAAGAGGGAAAACAAACTCCTACTTATGTATAAATTGAGCACTACCAGCGTACTCTCCAACCTATTCCCGGACAACAGCGGGTTCGATAGAATGATGAACTACTTACTGCAGTGATTGCCTTCCAAGCGAGAAATCAGATAAAGACGGCATACTATACATGGGTGTTAGACCGCTGCGGACGACCGGTCCTATCTAGCGGTCGACGACCGGGATATGTAGGGCTCACGAATGCCGCTCTGGCATCATCTCTACAGCTGGTGGCTACTTTGACACATGCGCAACTGCGGTGAAGGAAAACCGAGGTATATTAGTTCACCATTGCCGGAGACGGGCGGGATACAGTGCAATATAGCCCATGCATAATTATAACTTCAATCCGATGTGGCCGGGGGCCGGGCACATTAGATTTCGTCCCCGGGCTTCGAGGGCGGAAATCAGGTTATTGAATCCATGAGATCTGTCTTAGCTTTGTCAACCAATGACCCGTTATCCCATGTTAAACTATTCTGAGAACAAGCGGTTAGCCCTGTCTTGTCCGGAGGATGGCGATATTTTTTGGAGCAGATCACAATACCATATGTCAAGGCGACACCCTCATTGGCAATACGACAATAGTGTTTTGATATACGCCTCTGCCTGATAACCACGCGATTGATCGAAGCCAAGGCGCCCGCGCGTGCTGTTATATTTCACCGTTCCAACACCCCATCGCAACCCAGTTATATCCCATAACACAACCTTAGCTCATATATACTAGTTGATTGATTGGTAGTTCATCGTGTATGCATTTTTAGTCCACTCAATTATCATTCCGGTGCCTATTGGCGCGTATGCTCCCATAGCCCGCCACATGGAAAGTAAGTTGGCCAAGGCGCGGGAGTGTCTTACGCTCGGGCACCTTGCTGTCTCTCCGTAAGGCCCAGCGGTGGTAGTGATATATCCTGTTTGGAATTGCTTCGAAAGCACCGTTGTGGAGAATAGATCTTGTCGGCGGCAAAGGGGCCGGTGTTACGAGGTCAATGAGAGAGCTACCACCTCAGTTGGGTCTCGCATTATGATAATAGCCAGTAATCATAATGCGAGACCCATCGCTGCTGGTGCGGGTGGCCGATAGGTTAGTTAGTCGTTTTCTGGCTCGGTCCAGTCCTCACTTTGGAGGTGTCGGGAGTAAACTGCACAGTTATCAGTGCGGATTCCGGGGCCATATTTTAAGGAGGTATCATACCGCATCAAATTCAAACCGTGGATGATAGAAACTTTTATTATAACGCCCCACAGGGAAGACAAGCGGCGCTCTCAAGACCAAAAGGCACAGAACGTCAGCCGTAGTGCTGATAGGCCCTGCTGATGAAATACAACCCATCACCCCCGCTGGTGGAGACTGAGAAGATCTCCGCCGGATGATACAACCACCTATGCTTCGTCGCTATGGATAGATTGGACGCACCGACTATGCTCGGGTCATCGCCAGCAGTCGGAGATAGAACTGGTTACTGGTCCGCTCTCTCCCGCTCTCTGGCCGTGAGATCGCCGGTATCCCGGTTTCTTGGCCTAGGTTATTGATCACATGCAATTGGAGGAAGACTGCGACAACGCCGAAGTACCCACCCTTTTTGCCGGGGGTATAATAGTGCCCAATAACTAGGAGCTATCCATCCTAACGAAGCCTATCGGTCATGAGTGAATGAATCCTGTGGCTTTGTCAGCATCCTCTTCCTATACGATAGATGCAATGCGAAGAATCATACATCAAACGCCGTTGGACTAACTCCGGTGCTGTTGTCGACTGAACATGTGGTTGGTTGAACGAACGAGACCGAAAGATCCCGCAAGCTCGCCGCATGATGTCGCATGAACAACACGCGGAGATCCCCGCTGCCAAGACCCCCACAGATCTTGCGGGCCGCATTGGTTGGCGTGAGATAAGCGATGATCAGCTGCAGGGGTCCTGTCCACTCGCTTATCTCCCGACCGTCACTGTTCCTGCCAAGCGCCAAGTGTGACGGCTAGTCTGTGCGCCGCTGGGATGTCCACACCCAACTCGTTGATTCCTTCACATTACATCGCGACAACATGCTCTGCCGCCCCTAAAACACAAAACCGTACTGGAATTATCGAAAGGTTATGAGCCACCCTCTCTACCTCTAAGTTTTGCATGCGACCTTCTCTCGGGGTCCAATCGGAGGATTCTGGCTTAATCCTGTTTGAATGTTCAATCACTTGTCGCATTTACAATCTCCTCCCGGGCCCGAGACATAGCAAAATACCGCATGTATCGCGCCATCACCCTGCGCGACCTATTTCAACGGCTTCCGGGTCCATGGCGGCGGCGGCGGCGGCGGCGGCGGCGGTGGAAAAAGATATTGTTGTTTCAAAGTCCGAAGATACAATAGCGGTGGTTAGATGACTATGGGAAACATCGTCGCGGGGAGGTGTCTTCGGGTGCATGTTCAGAGACGCGGTGTGGGTGTGGTTTCTACCGACTTCGCGAGTTAGCTATAGGTATAAGACGACACGGGAGACGACAGACGCGACTGATTATCGAGAAACCTGTCATCATCCCGACTCCCTATAGTTACATAACGATCCACTATTCCTAAAAGTATGTAGATAACCTGAGAATTACCGCTTCGGGCCCGGTATCAAAACACAACAAACCAAGACCTTCGACACCGTTGAACCGGAAATTCACTATTCACACCAACACCCCACCTTCCAGCAGGGTTAACAGTTCCAAGTTCAGGGCTATATAAAAGACATCTATCTCCCATCATTACGCAGCAGATACTCTCTGCTCACCGCGCATTCCCCTTCCAAATATTTCAGATACCGAGTGATCCGCCATGACGCATCCCCGCTTCCATACCTGCGTTTACGGAGAAAACTATCCATAGCAAGATGAACTACCTTTATCCACAATCCCGTCGTTCTCCTTAGGTAAGCGGTAGATGGGAAGTAACTTTAGAAACAAAAGCCGATATCCCTGGTAACGTTTCAAACAGATATGGCGGCACTTCACCTCTAAACACCGCACGAAAAAGACATGCAATGTAGCGCGCGCAACGGGGGTTTAGTATCCGAATCCCCTGCATTAGGGGTGTGGTTCACATGGGGGGTTAACAGAAGATAGAAACCAAAACAAACCGCCCCGACCCCGTCAGTATCGCGGTTCCGCCGCAGCATAGAGAAGAAAAACATCGCGCCGGGTCAACCACCGAACCCACCATCTTCCACCCCCCGGGTATCCCAACACACACTACCCCCCCCCCTCCCCCTGTCCACCACCGTGCACTCAACCTACTCTGCCCGGCAGCCACTTCCATCACCAGACAGCCCCCCCACCACAGCACTGAGAATCACAATGATAGTTTTTGCGGCAGCGAAGAAACCCGGTGGGCTGGCATGCCTTCGCTATGGAGTCGCCCGCTATTTAGGGGAATGCATTCGCGGTAGTAGAGAAGCCCCGGTGAAACAGGGGGAGGAGAGGGCATAGATGGTACGTCGCCGACTGGTTGGCCGCCTTGTTGGTCGTTTGAGGGATGGAGTTTTGAGTTTGATTTTTAACGCAGGGGGCGATAGTGCATACAAGATCTGCTTCCGGGTATGGGTGTAGATACCATGCCACGCAGGGCGGTAGTGGAGCATCGGGAAGTATGTTTGGCAGGTGGGGACTGCGCGGAAGTGTCGTTGCCGGAGAGCAAGCCGCGCAGCGCAAACATGGTAGCGTCTGGAACATTAACTTTCTGACCACTCTTGGTGGCTTCTGCTCTTTGATCCCGGTGCTGAGGGCTTGATTGACGGATATCAGGGTAGAATAAAGTCTAATACACACGCCGGAAGCGAAAGAAACCTTTATCTGTCGCACTACTGAATTGGAATCCGACACAACTCCCGATCCCGCACCTACATGAGATAACGGAGTGACCGTAACAAATGTCCTAGCAGCAGAATTCCCTAGCTCAAGAGTCGAACTGCACAACCTCATTCCCGGGATAAATCTAATCCGGATGCCAAGCAGAGGGTGCAATGAACCAGGGGTACATCACAAGGTATCACTCGCTCACAGTTTACCCAATCAAGATGGATAGCATTTGTTGTTTGTGAGGCCTGGGTACACCCACCGTTAGTTCTATCAGACTGCACACTCAGGATGCTCCCAGGTTGCCTCGGTTATCTACGAAGATACTAGTTCGTGATGCTGCACCAGACACTAAGCGCGGTCGATTTTCTGCGATGAATTGCAATTACTTGCTTGCTCCCCTGGGCCAAAATAAGAAACAGCACAGGATTTATGCCATACATTCAGAAGGTTATCTACTACCTTTCTACAGTTTAGTACCCGGATATGTGATGTTTATCCTAAATACCGGCCTAGGTGTTGTTTAAATTAAATAGGTGATTTTTGTACCATAGGGAGAACAGATTTACTTTCCCGGCCTGGTCCCGGACGAAACCTGACGAGAGAAAATGTATGTAGAGAACTGTAGTAGTTGTGTATGTTTTACTGCGAGTAGCTAAAGGGGAGTGGTCCCATATTTATGCCCAAGGAAAACTGATACAAAAGCATAAAGAACCAGATCTACGACAAACACTCTGGCCAACAGAAATGACTCACAGTCGGCATGATGACCAATATAGCAATGCACCCCCCGTTTCCTATGGGCACGTACTATCTCAAGACCCACGTCTCCCAAAGCGTCACATCCTTTGACACCGTCGACATGCGTACACACAGCATCACCCACGGGCTTTCCACCTGCTTTTTCTTTTTCATCACCGAACTTGGCAGGTGTACTCGCCGGCCCCAGACCCGGGATGGCGGTTCAGGCACCCGCCGCGATAGCGGCGAGGTCGAGGGTTGTGGTGGGAGTGCTTGTTTAGCTGCGGAACAGAGGTGGCGATTCCCGGTGTGTATAGGAATAGAGATAGCGGCTGCGGGAGTGCAAGGGACGGACTGAGGCGGAGGAGGAGGAAGGGAGTGAGGAGGAGAGTTAGGGTGAGGTGGTGCTGGTGCATTGGTTGGTTACGAGGTGCTGGGAGTGGGGCGTTGGGTATCTCTGTTGATATGATATTGGAAGAGTGAGGGTGTGGACTGAGTGGAGGAGTAGCTATAGGACCTGTTGGTGAGCAGCTTGTGCTGTAGGTGCTGCAGCGCTGTGTTATATAGTGCAAGAAGGTTTAAGCTGGGCAGGTGTGCCTGAGCGAAGAGTGGAGTATGGATGCTCTCAAATAGCAGGGTGGTGGATCAGTGGGAACTCTACTCGCAGCCGCGGGACGGGATGGAGGTTTCAAGTTGGGGCATCATCATACATGGAGGCCGGATCAATACCAAAACGAAATTATCAAATCATCATCTTGACGTCCTTAGATAACCCTATCGGGCGACAAGACGACGCTACAATGCCTATTACAGTCCAGATAGTGACTCATACCACACTACCTACGAAACCCACCCGAGATCAAGCTTACTGACGTTCCTGGTAGCACAACTCAATGAAACCTAATCTACTCAATCAGGCTTCCAAAAACACCCCCACATATCACCCGCTGGGGCGGTGGAACAACGGGAAGCATATCTGGCAGTTGAAAGAGCGGGAGTGTGAGGGTATATGTAAGACATCACACCAAACTTAAAGATCCTTACCACGCATAGTGGCCATCATGCAGAGAACGGGGGGGAGGGGGCTTTCTACCGACACCCGACGGATATCAACGGTTAGCCATTATGGCCAACTGGGGGGATTTCAGATCTCATCCGTTCCGGCAACGCGGTACAGGCGATGTTTCATTATTTCATACCACCAGGTACTTGCAGGTATCTACATCCCCGTCTGCACAATCTACTAGCTCTGCAACACTGACTTACGGACAGGGGGTAATGAAGGTCACATTGTATTCTAGTCCAGCTAGCTACAGCAATCTCTCTCCCTCCTGGCCTGTATCTCCCGCTCGTACCATACAACCACATGATCCCCGACGCCCCGGAGTACCTCTCGCCACCTGTTGACAGGGCCTTCAGAGTTTGACATCCCCCCCGCCCCTCCATATCGACTCAGCAACCTACCCACCCACTTATGCAGCAGAGCCCAACGCCGTCTCGCCCGCCACCGCGCCGCTCTCGAGCCGCATGTCTGCATCGGTTCCGACTTCAGGTGTCATACCGACCGCAGCGCCGGCAAAGGGCTTGGGGAGGACGGGAGAAATGATCTTGGTGGGGTTGGGGATAAGGATCGTAGGTATGGGGATGAGGTCTGTGGGGTTCGGGAGGATGCTGGGGACTCCTATGAGACTGCTTGGGAAAAGGTCTGTGGCGAGGGTGGGGGTGGTGATGGCTAAGACAAGCAGGAGCAGCGGGAGGAGCGGGTGGGGACGGCAATGCATGGTGCGGAAGTGCGTTTTGGGATATCTGGGCTTGTGTGTTGGGGCTTGGGGGCTGGAGCAGTAGCTGCTGAGCTTTCGTCAAGTGGGTGAAGAATGGGAGGACTCTGGTGGCGGGGAGTGGCTTTTAAATCTGCCGAAGCTGTGGTACAATCAAGGGGTATGTAGCTGGGTGAGTTTCATTCAGACACGGAACACTAACTTTTACAAATCAACTGCGGGGTACTGAATCCTCGGGAAGTATATCTTACATGATGTTACAGCTGTGTGGAGGGCGTCAAGCCACGGGACTTCACCACCGCTTGCTACTACTGCCGTTCTCTAGATATATGGGGGCCGTCGCACCCATACCACAGTAGCCTTTTACCAAACGGATTGCGGCATACCACTATCAACGGTGGGGGATGGCAGGTCTCACAGAGTCCATCCGCGCCTATGATATCACGGACGTCATTCCGGGTGGTATGTACAGTACGATGCCAGTCATGAGTGTCAGGCGCAACCAGATTTCCACAACCTTTTCACGGCGGGTTGGTACACAAGATATTAAATGTCAAATCATTGCTATTTATCTAATATTTAACAACTATACAAAAATTCAGCTCTCCAAAGGATCAATTGTGGTTGCTGTGTTGGTACCCGTGATGGTTCGGGGGGCCTTGTGACGCCGCGCCTGACGCTCACGACTGGCATCGTACTGTACATATTTGTTACCTCCGCCCGCTGCCTGCCTGCCTGACTCCCCCGCACCTGCCTGCCTACCCACGTGCCCGATGGCCTACCCCCTCACCTGCCTGCTCACCTGCCTACTTATTGGGAGCTTAATTGACGTTGATTTCGTGCACCGTTAGTCTTCGATTTGAGCGTAGATTTGAGCGTAGATTTGATGCTGATTTAGGTGTCAACTTGGTGCAATTAGTCGACGTTTGGTATCGTTTTGGGCGTCAATCTAGGTGTCAATTTGGGCGTCGATTTGCTGCTATTGAGCAGTCTGTAGCGGTGTCAGTACAGGCATCAAAATACAGGTAGGTAAATACGTATCCAGGCATCGCTACAGGTAGGAGGTAGGCGTCGATGCAGGTAGCAGGTAGGTGTTGAGGTAGGCATCGCTGCAGGTAGGAGGTAGGTGTCGAGGTAGGTGTTGATGCAGGTAGGTAGTAGGTGTCGAGGTAGGTGTCGAGGTAGACATCGAGAGGAAGGAGGCAGGTAGGCAGGTAGGTAAGCAGGTGGGGATCCTCGAGATGTTAAATCTGACGTCATTTGCTAGCGAGGTCAGGGCTAGCGCCAGGTCTTAGGCAGATTCGCCACGGTGGGTCACGTTTTGGGAAGCAGTGGGACGTCAAGAGACGAGGTGTCATATTTGGGAGGCCTACTAGGCGTTAAAAGGCGAGTGGTCGCATTTTGTATGCTTACTAGGCGCTAAAAGACAACGTGTCACATTTTGGTAGCAGCGGGACAAGGTTTTTTGAGCGACAGACGAGGTTTTGGGCGCGGAAGACGAATTTGGACATCTGAGCGCACGGATTCGTCCAGTCTAAATCCATTTGTTGCTGATGCTGACTAATAAAACTCCTCGTAACCCAATGTGTTACCCAATCCATCCATGAGGGATACCATCCTCCCTACCATACAAGTTGAAGAAACGTCTGCAGGTAGGTTCCAAGCTCTAACAGTCCAACTTTTCCCAACAAATCGAACATTCCCAACCCCTCCCCCAGATCCAAATCAAACCCCTTCCTTTGACATTAGTAACACCTTCCAGAAACTATCCCTAGAAGAACTACTTGTGGCACCGAACCGCTACCCCAAGCAGTCAGGAACCGGCATGGACGGCTTCCTATATACGTTCATTCAAGCAGTTATTAAGTCAAATCACCTACTAATCCAGAATATATTCTTCACTATTTTAAAACATTTAACACACCCAAACAGATGAGGGGCTGTCAGATGCATCCAGATACCAACGCTAGGAAAGCTGGACTACGTTTCAGCATGGTACTAGAGAAAAATGTTGCATACAGACTCTACAGCCTGGTGCAATCCATGAACACTTTCCTAAAACCTGTTCAGAGGGCGACACTCGATTTCTGCTATTAACACACTTCTCCACACCATAATCCCAATACAACAAAATCTTCGTATAAAAAGGTCAGAGGTGTCACGCCTGACAAACCAGCAATCCTAACAAGCAACATACAAGGGGCATTAAACCGTGTTCAAACCACGTGAATAAAGCTCATAAGATTAATGGGTTGCTTGTTAGAACGCAAGGCTTACCAACAAGAATAGGGCTATACAGCAGTCAATGAAAAGAGTTGGCATTCAGGAGAACATCAGAGAGAAAATGCAAAGGAGTAAGGGCTACAAATTCAGTTAAACTCGGAGGTAATTTCAGATCTTATAGTGAGAAACATGTATCAACCGCAGTTGTTCATAAGTTCTAACCGTGTATACAGATTGGATTGATTTCCCAACATAGCTTACCATTTACATTCTGAACCCGGAGCCAACCCCACGACACCGCTCCATACTTCTGAATGGAGGCAGTAACATACCTCCCAACCTCATGGACTATGATACAGGCATGCGAACTACGAGCATTTACTAAACAGAAAATGAAAATCATAGTGTCCTTACAACACGCTCAATCCAAAATCCGTTTTACTTTAGGCGGTTCAAGTGGGACATCACCAAATAACCAGACGCTACTTGGTATTATTGCTAACTTTACCGACGAAGATAGGGTGCTACGGGAGTCAGTTTACAGACTAAAGGGTATTAAGGTATCAAATATGGATCAGAATATGGCACACATTATTGGTACTATTATCGAGGATTACAGTATCAAATCACAGTTCGGATATGGTATGATGGACTATGCATCCAACAATGATACACCGTTTCAACATCTTCGTTCGTTCCTACAAGAAGCCAGAATGCAACTGAACCATGAACAGTGCCGACTCCGTTATAAAGGACACATAATTAACTTTAGTGTCAACGATTTTCTATTTGGCTCTGGTAGCGATATGGTGGAGGATGGGATATTTACTAAAAGACCGCTGAAGGCATTGATAACTGTCGTAAGGAAAGGCCATTAGGCAAAGCGAATAACATCGTCAAGAAGATATGTACTGATCTCGTACAGAAACAATAGTAAAAAATGGAATCCGTGGTATTCTCTCCTTATATCAATGTTATGCTCAGCAGTTCGGGTAGTGATTGATCTTTACATCTATGAACATGTACCATAGGAGTATCGATTATCAAAACCTGAGTGGGATATACCACTGATGATTCAAAGGTACACTTGCCACTGAAGGACATAATGCGACACTCGGGAAGGTACTGCCTGTAATTGATTTTTTGATGTCTCATTACAACAATGCATAACTCACGCATAATGTTGTATTCGCTATTATGGTCCTCAATGGAAAAGCCAAATTCAACAAATATTGTCTTTTTTTGTTTAATTGATTAATTGCTCGCAACATTATAGTTATGGCAATGACTTCTGCACTACCCTATCTCATCCACCGTCGCTTACGTAGTATTTAGACAAATGAAAAAGAATCGCATAAATACTCTTGAAGTACTCCTCGTCTCTAGCGTCCTTCAAAGTTCCCCGCCCATATCCAGTTCTCTTCTTTCCTCTTCCACGATCTAGTCCTGTCTGTTTCTCTCATATCTCCAAATTATAAACTGCTTCTATATCTTCGTCACTGCTTCAATACCGCTGGCCTTCCAGAGGAGTTTGATGGCTGAACTGCCAGTGTGTTCATTGTAGTTCGCCCGGGTCTCCGCCGTTGCGTCGCGTTCAGTAAGTATGTGGGTTACACTTTGTTCGCCTTTACCGCATTTGCATTCGGACTATGTTTTTTCCCTAATCTTTTCAGAACTTAACAAATATTATATCTTCGCAAAATCATCACCACCTTATATTACTGCCGTGGTTCTCAATCCCAAATTCAAGTCGCATTACTTTGAAGAGCGGTGGAGTGAAGCAGATGTAAAGCAAGCAAGGGAGATATTGGAGTCATTTTGGATAGCCAAATACAAGGCTTTGGGTCCTTCCTCACTAACACAACTGGAACGGGCTCGAAATGAAGAACAGCCACAAGCAGATGATTTTGAATCATGGATGACTGTTGGTACTAGTGCAAATGCCAACGGCGATTCAGTTGAGACGGACGAGCTCACTCAATATGGTAGCACATCACCCGAACTAGCAATTGCAGACTCCAGGTTATAGTGGATGGATATCCGGGTGCGCCAGCATTATCCTAGTCTGAGCAAGATGGCTATTGATACTCATTCAATTCCGGCGATTTCTGCTGAACCAGAGTGGTTATTCTCGTCCGTAAAGCTTACCATTGGAACACTCTAGAACCGTTTTGGTACTGAAACCATTGAAGCACAAGAATACCTGAAGTCGTGGGATCGGGCAACAGGCTTGTAATGTATCAATTAGGAAGATGGTGACTGGAATAGGCTTCGCCATATCTCTGTTAAGAAATCTAATACTTCTGTCCGATTGTAAATACTCTACGCTTTCTATTTTATCTCATACTCTTGTCTTTGAGAACTATATGTCAGTCATGTTTAAATATCATTAGTCACGGGCCATAGACCCTTTCAGTTTACTTGGTTAAACCAGTACAAACCGTGCACTTATCTAGTTGGTACAGTCGGTACAGTTTATTCTTACAGTACGACGCCAGTCGTGAGGGTCAGGCGCAACCAGATTTCCACAACCTTTTCACGGTGGGTTGGTACACAAGATATTAAATGTCAAATCATTGTTATTTATCTAATATTTAACAACTATACAGCTCTCCAAAGGATCAATTGTGGTTGCTGTGCTGGTACCCGTGATGGTTCTGGGGGCGTTGCGACGCCGCGCCTGACCCTCACGACTGGCATCGTACTGTACATATTGAGCAGTTGGTATGGTTCCGTCCCAAATATAAACCGGTTCGTACCATTCGAAACCCTGGTGATCATTTGGCCAAATCCGCGTCTTGCTCAACGGACCAGAACACTCGTTTCCCAACATTTAAAACATAGGGTATTGCAGTACATATCCAAGTGCAGTACACAGTAGACTCCCCCACACGCATAACAGAATTTAAATCTAGAAAGGATAAACGCAAAGGAATGCAGATATTGCACGTGTTGATTCTAGCTAAGGCGGCACAACCCCGTATTTATACTAAAGAAAGGTAGTACAGAAATATAATGAAAGTTATAGACGTATGAATAATAGACTCAGCTCTTGGTGGCCCTGAGTAACCCCCTTTCCTGGGGCCAAGGATCCGAGCCCTTGCAAGCTTGCTTTGGGCAGGGTCATCAATCAACGGATCATCGTTCTTGAGGTCCTCCCTTCCCCTCATTGGTAACCTTTGGAGGGTTTGATCTCAGTCGAAGCAGTCTGGTGAAAAGCCGATCCCTTTCACTATCGCTTGGGGAAGGCCTTTCAGTCGACGCATGATCGTTGCCGAGGTATTTCCCCCCCTCAGCGGTAACCGTTTCAGGGCGTTGACTCGGTGGGATTGATCTGGTGACCCTCTGGGGCATCGTGTTGGCAGAAGTAAACCTCGTGGGGTCAGGACGATCCCGTTCCCGTTTTCGCTCAGTAACCGTTAGAGGGTCTGGAACCAGTCCACGAAACCTCCTCACGGCCTTGAAGGTCCCCCTCAAAATAAGCCATCGAGACCACGCAAGCCTCTGTCGCGCGGAAAACGATAGTCTACGAAACATGAGTAAGGCCTTGATGGTCATCGTCAGAATACCCAATCGATGCCTCGCAAGCCTGCCTCGGTGCTGCGCTTCAGCAAGCATAAATAGTGGAGACGTCGCAAGCCTGCTTCGGCGCTGCTCGACAGCAAGCAATGGTCTAAGAAACTTCATGACGGCCTTGAAGGTCCCTGTCAGGATAAGCAATCGATGCCTCGCAAGCCTGCGTCGGCGCTGCTCGTCAGCAAGCAATGGTCTAAGAAACTTCATGACGGCCTTGAAGGTCCCTGTCAGGATAAGCAATCGATGCCTCGCAAGCCTGCGTCGGCGCTGCTCGTCAGCAAGCAGTGGTCTAAGAAACTTCATGACGGCCTTGAAGGTCCCTGTCAGAATCAGCAATCGATGCCTCGCAAGCCTGCTTCGGCGCTGCTTCTCAGCAAGCAGTGGTCTAAGAAACTTCATGACGGCCTTGAAGGTCCCTGTCAGAATAAGCAATCGATGCCTCGCAAGCCTGCTTCGGCGCTGCTCGTCAGCAAGCAGTGGTCTAAGAAACTTCATGACGGCCTTGAAGGTCCCCGCGAGAATAAGCAATCGATGCCTCGCAAGCCTGCTTCGGCGCTGCTTCTCAGCAAGCAGTGGTTTAAGAAACTTCATGACGGCCTTGAAGGTCCCCGTCAGAATAAGCCATCGAGACTTCGCAAGCCTGCTTCGACGTTGCTCTTCAGTATCCAATAATGCATGCTCCCCTCCAGCAAGCCCAGATGGTGTAGGAGCAGCTAGAGGTTCGACACTGTGGTACCAAGGCTCGACTACAAGGTTTTCTTTGTCAATTGACGGATGGTCACAGCATGGGAAAACCCGGTCCGAAGGATCACTCACCATCGGTCTCGGCCTGCGTCCTTAAGGCCCACTCACTTGTGGACACGGTATGTACCGCGCTATTCACCGCAAGATACTGTCCCAGCACGCTTTTGTCCCCCCCAATGCTTCTCGCCCCGTCTGTACTTCCTGACTCTGAGCCATTTCCGTATTCTTCTTCCTCATACTCACGGTAAGCCGGCGGCAGCGCGAACAAGCGTATGTCCTCCATGTGGTGCGCGACATGGCTGTAAAACCTTCCAGTGTTTCCATCGAAGTTCTTCGCGCAGAACGGACACTCCCTTGTCGTAAACGCCTCGCCGCCTTCTCGTGGGCTCCGTATGCAGGCCATATCATGCGCGACCCAGGCCTTCTTTGAGCTATAGAACCTGCCCGAGCTGGAACACCGGGTGCGAATACACATGTATGGCGACAGGTCGGCAAAGACATGTTTTCTGGACATTTCGGCGCCAGTCGCGATGACGAGTCAGGCTTGGACACTGCAGGCGGGGAATGTCAGGGAAAGATGGGACCATACCTCCACGTGTGGCCTTGGGTAGTGGGGCGTTGATTCAATCCGCAAAATGTGCATTCGAAACCGGTCCCGTATCGTGAATGTTCGGGGACCCGGGGAAGGAGGCGTCTCTTGCCTGGTTCCGACGACACTGAGCAGATGGTTGAGTGCGTCAAGCCGGAGACGGAAGGGGGTGGGGCAAGGAACGTGTAGGCGTGGGGGACCGTAGGCTGGGGAATGATAATAGCTGGCAGTGGGTCCGGAGTGTGGATTGAGACTGGTGGGAGGCTGTGAGGAGCGGAGCTACCGAGTCCGGAGTCTTTGAACGTGGTGGCGACACCTGCCGTTGGTAAATCTTTCATTCCTTCCAGCATATCCTGGGCTGTTTGAATGTGCATCTCAGACTCCTCGAGCACGGGGGGCAGATGGGCACTGTCAAGAAGAAATAGTAAGTGCTGTTGATTAATATATGCACTGGGGGCGCACTAACCTTTGTCCGACATTCTCGAATACCAACTTCTCCTCTTTCAGCTCCTCCTTCTGCTCTTCCTTCTTCTCCTCCCTCTCCTTCCCCCTATCCTCGTCCAGCCTCACCAACCTGTCGTAACAGTCCACATTCCCCTTTGAAAACCCTTCAATATCCAGCTGTTCAATTGCGTGAGGGAATCTGTCCCGGATATATTGCTGGTATATCTCCCAGTGCTTACCCATCACATCGCTCGGGGTGCTGGTTTCTCTTCCCAAAAAGCCTTCTCCAAGGCCTCCTGATCCTCCATGTCACCACTGATGGATGAGGAGCACCATCTGTCCGACGACGCCTGCCTCTCCAGAGATCCGGTCATAGCGGCCGACTCACCCTCCGCTAAGGCACCCCCTCCCACCATTGTGAGTGGATATTCAAATCCGAGTCCTTCCGGTATCTCCTGCCCCTTTCCAAAAGGAGAAGTCTCTGGGGAGGTGGTGTGTTCGCTAGGTTGTGGAGCATTTGTCCTAGTTATGGGTCGTTCCATGTGACTTACCCCCGTCGTCTCATCCTCCTTCATCTCCTCCATGACTTTGTCAAGGGTAGATAGTACGTCAAAAAGCGCATCGATACACTCGCGCAGCTCCCCAATGGCAGCATCCTGTGTTTTCCACTCACGTTTCAATTTGCTGTCCAACTGTGGATACGCCTTAGCCACCTCGCTGAGGGATAGCCGCAGGAGCGTGCGGGTGTAGTCGTTGCCAACTGTAGATGATGTCAGCACTGCTCGCCAATGTCACAGAGCGCGATCATACCTTTCCGGAGGCAGTCATCAAGGAGACAACTAGCAAATGACGCCAGGAGTAGGACTATAGGCTCCTTAAGGTATATAGCGTCCTCCAGCACTTCCTCCAGTATATTACCATCCGCTGGGGGTGTATTGTCGAAGGCGCGCGTCCACAGACGGAAGCGCCCAAACTCGTGACAAAGCGGTGTTCGGTAGTCATTTTTAATGCTTTTGCCGGAGAGTTTGGAAAGCTCGCGGATGTGGGTGGTGCATGCGGTGATGAGGCCACTAGCAATAATGGGAGGTGTTTCCGGGGAAGACATATTCGCGAATACACAGCGTGACAGGAGGCAGACAGTTGGGAGGTGACGATGTGACTCTTTCAAGATTTGACAAACTTAATCAGATGAAGCAACAGATTCAATGAGATTGATGGGATTGACGATGATTTTAAGGAAAACCTTGGTGTGGGGAAAGTTTCAAGCGACCTTGGACGGTAATACTTACGTAAGCACTCATCACGGCTAACAGAAAATGCTGATGTGCCAGATCTTGATTGGTCCCCTCATTCGACGGTGATCGCAGGACGAGCGCACTTCAGTTACCTGGCCCCCAACAGCAACAGCAGTCCCCTTTCCTCGTACCTTAGCTAAAGCGGCCCGGGCTCGCTGGCAGTTCTATCTCTACCCCAGCTGAGAAACCGATACCTCCGCTGGCATGGCCGAACTCACCCTTGGTGTCATTGGGGTTCTTCCCCTCGTCGCCGCGGTCTTTAAAGGCTACCAGCAAGTCACCACTTTTGTGTCCAACTATAAATCCTACGATGAGGACTCGCAGCAGGCAATGCGTAGGGTCATCGTTCTCGAATCGGTCCTGAAGCAGAACCTAGAACTCTTTCTTAGGAGCCTTGTCGAGAGGAAGGTACGCCGTGCAATGTTGGACGACCTCAATAGCACGCAGTGGAATGAGAAGGACCTCAATGCCCGCCTCGAGGAAAAGTTAGGCGAGTACGTCGAACCGGTCAAGAGCGCCATCCAAAACTGTTCACGCACACTAGACAGGATCCACAAGTCACAGCTCCTCTCGCAAACAAAGCTGGCAGAAGCGGGAGAACCAGTTCCCCCACCAATACCGGCAGGGGCCCCCATGAGGAAGCGGACTCGCGCACTCCAGTCCGTCCTCTCGACTATGCCATGCATTGGCCCACGCACCGAGCACCCGTCCCCACTCGAGCGATTTTCGAGCCTCGTCAAAGGGCTTGTTGAAGAGGTTCAGAGTCTCTGCCGAGAACTCCGGGATTATATCACTGACCTAGAATCGATCTTCAACCTAATCAAGATATCACTGCGCCCTGGCAGCGCGGAAGACGAACACGTATCACGTCCTGCGACCTCCGCCTCGGACATAGCGAAAGCGCGCCGGAATACAGAGTTCGTCCATGCAGCTGGTGTCCGGCTCCACAAAGCTATCTCCAATGCACTGATATGTCAGTGCCACACTGTACATCTATGTCTCGACGGGCAGATTGGCAGCTCGTCCCCGGTGGTCGTCGATCGGAAGGGGAAATCAAAGCAGTTACAAACCCCAGCTGATGAAATACTGGCCCAGTTCTCGTTCCTATTTACGCACGGGAGCGGGCAATCTATTAGACAGGGAACCGCACTGGTCTGTTTCCAACCCGACGGCAGCGGCGGTGCGGTGGCTGCCTCTCTGCCAGGTAGGAGCGGGCACGCCAACATCTGCACGGAGGTAGCGGGGGCGGGTGAGGGCTACGAGCGGTACTTGCACGATACCAGCGGCGGCTTTCGTCTTCGGCTAGCCCCATCGTTACCGCACAAACTCGGAGGTGGCGGCAGTGGCGGCTATATCTCACTTCAGCAGGTCATCACGACGCGTCCCAGTGAGTTGACAGTTCACGACCGCTTGTTGATGACGGTATCTCTTGCTCAATCGCTGCTTCATCTGTACTGCTCCTCATGGATACGAGACTGGGGCATCGGAACGATACACTACTTCACGGCGCAAGATGACGCGGAATTCGGGCGGTGGACGCCATATCTAGTACTGCGGTCAGGTGACAGCGATATAGGTGATCGCAATCGTGATGTCTATAGGCTAGGGTATCTTTTGCTCCAGCTGGGAGGATTGTGTGTGGATGAGCTTCAGGTGGCAGCGGGCGCGCCGGAGCTCGGCATGGAGAAAGCAATCACGAGGGTTTACCGGTCGATGGGCAGAAATTATGTGACATTCGTGAAGAGCTGCTTAAATGTTTGGGGTCAGAATAGAGGACTGGATCTGATGCGGGGAGAGAACCTGGGAACCTATTTGGGGCACTTAGTGCAGTTGAGGAGAGATGCGATGTCCCTGTTAGAGGGGGCTTGAGTGAGAGCTTTTGGGTGACATTAGGTCCTTGTGAATACTATGTGCTATAGTATCATGAGTGTGTGATTGTAATGATTTTATACACTGGATAAAATATATGCCCTGTGTTTTTCTTCGAAACTAGACCATGGTATTTATGTCCGGCGTCAGCTGGTTGACGCCTTGTGTTCTCCATGAAAAGGGTACCAAGTGCACATTAGATCATCAAACGGGTAGTGTAGTTACAATGGCGGAAAATGGGGTGGGATTAGAGTAGTAGTACGGGTTCCGATGTCTAAATTGGAGGAATGATCCTGAGTGAGAGCTTTTTTGAATAGTAAGCGCTATAACAGATATCTTTGTTGTATCTCGATGGTGACCAGGAAACCATATACGTACTCTCTATATATGAAAGTACCGAAATTGTGGGGTTTGTTAAGGAATTAAGAATAAAAAAAGCTATTGTCGGGTGGGTACCTGCCAAAAGGTGGGGCACGAATAAAGCTTCAACAGGCCACATTAGTACCTGCATATTGAGTCTGACACTCCAGTCCAGCCCGTTGAGCTGCATTGTGGACCCTGTCAATGCAGCTATTGTGCCGCACTTACGAGGACACGTTTCACAACATGTTACAACCCACAGCCAATCTCAATACACGGATACTGACAATCGTCTATCACCTGTGGCTCAACATTTCACAACAGCAGTATTTTTCACCACCACGCACAATACTTCAGCCCTTATCTGGATTTTGGTCTGTTATCGTACGTCTCTTGATGAAGCTCTGTTTCCTGCTGTTTTCTGCTACTTTCCGCTGATGTCTGCTGGTGTCTGCTGATAAGAGGGTCAGGCCCAAGAGGACACAATAATGCCAGACTTTTTTATCTACTTTGATACCTGAACAAATGAAGCTTTTTCAACAATACAACAAGAAAGTACAGCAAGCTGTAACTGTGAGGAAGTCCACGTTTCTATTGATGGATACTGATTGGAATGTGATGAAATGTAACAGGCTGAGCCAAAAAAAACACTGCTGCTGCTGCTGCTACAAGCAGAAAGAGAGGTGTTGTTGCTGAATCCGTTGGAAACGATTCCAACGATGATAATTCTAACGATTCTAATGAAAATGATGATGAAAACGATGATGGCTTTTCCAATGATGGCAATGACAGTGAGGAAGAAGAGCTTGATGATGCAGAACACAGGACTATTACCGAAAAGAATGTTGTAGCCCTGCTTGATGATGCTTACCAGTCTGCTGTATGGGATCAGATGGGGTTTACCTCTTACAAAAATGAGAAACTAGAGAAAGTTTGTAAGAGAAGTATAGTAATTCATGGTGTTATTGTTCTAGCTAAGGGGGAATGCCCCGTATTTTTACTAAAGAGAGGTAGTATAAAAGAGATACAATGAGTCATAGATGTATGAATAATAAAATCACTAATAGGAAAGAGAGTCATGAGTGAGTCATACACTGATGACAAATACTATAATAAAATAATAAGGATCCTCTAATGCTATGGAGCATGCCGAGCGTCCTATTTTAATACTTGCCCTCGTAAGCAACAGTGAATAGTAGAAGAAAATAAAACATGTTTGCCTGTATCCAATGCCTTCGTGAGTAAATCCACCACGTTGCCGTTCATAGCAATATATTCCAGTTCAAATAATGCATCCTCAAACCATTCCGAAACAAAATGAAAATGTACATCAATATATTAAAACCTTTATGAAAGACAGGATTTTTAACCAAAGAGAGAGCTGTTTTTATCTCTATGGAGAATAAAAGAGAAATTCAGTTTTCGTTTCAAGTCCTATATCGTGTTCCGTAAACAGATCAGTTGTTGACTGGTGTCGGAGAGCCATGTAATCCACTTCAGTTGTAGAAGTGGCGACAGAAGTAATGAGCCAGTTTTCCCAGGTGGCCGGTCTTGGGATCTTGTCAGTGGGTGGACTCTGTAGTTGTGCCGATTGAGGGCATTCAAGTATGGTGTATTTGACCGATTGTTCCATCCCGTATTGGCATTGTGCAGGGTTGGTCTATGTTGCGTGTTTGCCTAATCTGATAGCTTGACAGCGTATCCGGTTTATGATTTTCACCTTGGATAGTGGGAGTTTTAACAGTTTCGTTTGGGGTTTGAGTTATCCCGAGTGGTGATAGCTGACAGTGGTTCGAGTCTTCCATTCCTCCAACATTGGTTTGGTGAAAAGGTCATTTTGTATCCATCTTTCTCTGTGGGTATCCAGTCCTTAGAAGGGAAGCATGAGGGATGTGATTCGCTTTGGGCTGATTCTTTTGATATTACTTGTTTTGGCTGGGAGGAGTTGTATTAGTGCTCAATTTAGAGGATGGTTGGCTGCGTAGCATAGAATTCTTTTACGATATTTCCTAGATTTTCGAATGAGAAGGTTTTCGAGAGGGAGTAGTGCTGCCTCTTTTAGCAGGCTTTCCGTTTAGGTACAATGGGGGAACTTGAAGGCCAATGATGATTCGGGCGGCTTGATAGTAAAGTGTGGAGAATGAAGGGATGATATGGTCAGCTCCTATCCACCAAGCTTATGATTCCCAAAGTATTGTTGGGATGAAGTCTTGTACCATGAGGTGGTGCATGTCTATAACGGTAGTTCCGTGGAGGTATGCTATATTTATGATTTTGTCCAGGACTGTTAGGCCTTTAGCGATAGTTTCTTTGATTTGGGGTCAGAAAGAGAGGTTTGAGTCAAGCCAGACTCCTACATATTTCAGTCTGACTTTTGAGAAGATTTTCTCTGTTGTGATTGTTACTGAATTCTTTGCTGTGGGGATGCATGATATTGTGGGTTTGAAGAAGATGGGATCGTATTTTGGTGTTTCCTATTTGATGTTAAGAGACATGGATTTTTGGACACTCTCTGCCATTCTTTCGTTTAGTTTTTTAGTGATGAAGGTGAGAGTTTTTCCTATTTGGATAAGTGCATCATCAGCAAAAAATGAAGTCTTGTCTTATGACGCCTGAGCACCCCAGACGCCCCAGACACTCCGGACAACATAAAGCGATTTCTTACCTGCATACCAACACCTGTATGCCCCGCGACAAGAGCTTTCCGTCCCTTTGTCAAGTGACATCGTCACGACAGGTGTAGATGCAAAGTCGCCTGCTGGCATCTCCACATTAGTATCATTGACATGGTTAATGGCTTTTGCTAGCAATTTTTACTGGCAGAATGAGATCACTCGGCAAAAGGTACATCGACCAGGATATGTTCTCCCTACGACTGTCACACATATTCGTCTATCTGTCTATGTAATTCTCTATGTACATATTTGCGAGTGCCCTACCTACCCCACACGTGCCTGCCCACCCCCGTGCCCGATTGCCTATCTCTGTACCCGACTGCCTGCCCAATTGGCTGCCTGACTCCCTGTCTGACTGCCTGCCTGACTGCCTGCTTGCCTGCCTGAATGCCTGCCTGACTGCCTGCTTGCCTGCCTGAATGCCTGCCTGTAAGCCAATTCGGAGCTTAATCAACGTCGATTGAGTGCAACATCAATCGTTAATTCGGCGTAGATTTGAGCATAGATTTGATGCTGATTTAAGTTTCAACTTGGCGCAATTGGTCGATGTCTTGGTGTCGTTTTGGGCCTCGATTTGCTGCTAATTTGATGCAATTACCTAGCAATTTGGTATCGTTTAGCAGTCTGTAGTGTTCTCAGTACAGTTGTCAAAATACAGAGGTCGGTAAATACATATCTAGACATCATTGCTGGTAGGAGGTAGGCGTCGAGATAGGCATCCCTGCTGGTAGGAGGTAGGTGTCCATGCTGTTAAGAGGTAGGTATCGAGGTAGTCATCACTGCTGGTTTGAGGGAGGTATTGTTGCAGGTAGGAGGTAGGCATCGTTGCTGGTAGGAGGTAGGTATCGAGGTATGCATCGCTGCTGATACAGGGTAGGTGTCAATGTGGGCATCGCTGCTTATAGGAGGTAGGCATTGTTGCTGGTAGGAGGTAGGTGTCAAAGAGGGCATCGCTGCTGGTATGAGGTAGGTGTCGATGCAGGTAGAAAATAAGTGTTGAGATAGGGGTTGAGAGGAGGATAGGCAGGTAGGTAAGCAGGTGGAGATCCACGAGATGTCAAACCTGACACCATTTGATAGGGAGGTTAGGGCTAGCATCAGGATTTAGGGAGATTAGCCATAGTGAGTCACATTTTGGAAGGCGGTGGGGTGTCAAGAGGTGACGTATGATATCTGAGAAGCCCACTAGAGATTGGAAGGTGAGAGGGCATATTTTGGACGCTTGATAGGTGCTAAAAGATGATCTGCAAAATTTAAATCCTTATTATGCATCAAAAGATGACGTGTCACATTTTAGGGCAGCGGGATGAGGTTTTGTGAGCAACAGATGGGGTTTTGGGCACGGAAGACGAATTTGGACATCTGGACATGCGGACTCATCCTGGCAAAACCCGTTTTTTGCTGATAATCATCATTGATGTAAGTGGTGCCAGTGTTGTTAGTGCGATCAATTACTAATCCGGCATATATCATGAATAAAAGTGATAATAGTGGAGATTCTTGTGGTAGGCCTGAGTTGTCTGGTTCAGGGGTTCCCAGTTCGTGATTGAACTTGAATTGGAGAATTAGGTTTGAGTTGAATTCCTTAAACTATTTGATAAGTGGAGTGGGAATTTCTTTCATGTTATTATTTCGGTGAGCTAATAGTAGTTTACACAGTTGAAAGCTCCCTATATGTCATTGGTGAGAAACGCTGGTCGGTCTGGAGTAGTTCCCGTGATTTTTGTAATTAGGAGATTTTGTTGTGTGGGAATGAGGGTGTTTAGGAGTGCATCGATTGCCGAAACGGTGGTTCTACCTCCGATATTGGTTCTTGTTGAGAGTTTCTAGTATGGAGCCTGCTGTGTAGAGTCTTGTTGCCACTATTTTCTCCAATAAGTTGCTGAAGATTGGGAGGAGCGAAATTGATCAGTAGGCTTTAGCTAGGGAGTAGTATGATTTTCCCGGTTTAAGGATTGGGATATA